GCATACTACTAATCTCAGAACATGGGAACATAATATTCAAACAAATAATAACTTCACAGATATTACAGGAAAAAATTGGTGAAAACTAATGAACCAAATATACTCTCTTAATTTCTATTACACAAAAAAAATATAGTGTCAAACTGCTATAAAAAAAAGAAAAAAGCAACGGCCCAATTAAAGTAAAAGAAGATACAAAGCTATTGCACCAAATAACAGTGCGAGAACTAAAAGAAGGAAGGTAACACCTAAAACTATTATAGCAGTAGTAAGCATTGTTGAGGACCGGATAGGAGCAGGCCGCGGCGGTGAAGTTGCTTCTTCTTCTTCTTCTGTAGACTTTTCAGGCGGCGGCGGGGGAGAAGTAGGCGAAGAAGCTGGTGGGGCGGCAGATGGGGTACTTTTCGACGGTGGAGCTGCAGACGGAGTACTTTTCAACGGTACGCTGATATTCCATGTGTACCTAAAGTTGAAATAATTGTTTATAGTTGCGGAGGCGGATGGTGGAGGAGGAGGCGGCGGTTTATGAATTAGAACAGGGGTGGCGATGGCGGAGGACTAGACCTTGAGGGAGAAGGTGGAGGAAGGAGATGGAGGCGATGTGGAGGAAGGGGGAGACGGTTTTATGAAACAGGGGGTGGCGATGGCGAAAGACTAGACTTGAGGGAGATGGAGGCGGAGATTGGGGTGGTGATGGAGGAGAGAAGGGGTGTAGAGGCTGGCGGATCGAGTGCTTTGGGCTGAAGGGGTAGGGCTTGCGCGCTAGTTGAGGGAGAGGTGAGCGAGAAGGAGGCAAGCGCGGGTTGACTTTTGGAGACCCTGACGCGATGAAGATATGGTGCAGATATGAGATCGGGTGGCGCGCGGCATTGAAGAGCCTTGGTGGGTGAACTGCGAGGAGGAAGGCTGGCACTTTGGGGCCGGAAACGGCTGGCATGAAGGAGCCATTGGATGGTGGCTGCAAAGGAGAAGGCCTGGCGGTGACTCTGAACCCTGCATCGACGGAGATGGAGAGGGGGCCATGGACGGAGCCTTTGAAGGTGACGGGATGGGAGGAGGAAGACTGAGTGATGTCGGAACCTCCGCCAGCCTTGCATGATGATGATCATGGTGATGAAGAGGGCGGTGGCGGAGATGATGATGATGATGATCCTGGTGAAAACCATGGTATAACGACGGTGTGTAAGCGGCGCCTCCGGCCACCGCGTGGAGGAGGACAAGAGCCAGTAGGTTTAGCACCTTATTCATCATGGTCAGCTTCTCCGATCTTCACACCCCTGAGTTATGACAATGAGAATTATTTGGTTATTGCATACGCTTAAAAAGCGAAGGCCCTTCTGTTACTATTTATAAGTATCTGCTCCTCCAAAACTCAAAACCCTTATTGCATGAATACAGAAATATTTTCCCTTGAAGGACTCCTAATTAAACCCGACTCCTCTCGGACATCAACGCCCACATCCTTTCAAACTTTTTTTTTTTTTTTAAGAACTGTTCCTACTGCATCCTATTCAATACCTCCTACTTTTTATCACTGAAGATGTCGTCTTGGCACTTAATCTTATCTTCATGTAAGAATACTTATCAAATTAAAAATATCTATAATTAGAAAAATTAGTATAACTATCCATAATTAGAAATATTCTACCAATTAAATATTAAATATTTGGTAATCCCAATCCAACTATAATTGTCTTCTAAATTAAAACTATCTATAATTAGAAATTTTAGTATAACTATCCATAATTAAAAAAAAATCTACCAATTAAATATTTGGTAATCCTAATCGAACTATAATTATCTTCTTGATGCCTATTTCTATCTCCAATTAAGACCCCTTATAAGTTAAAACTATGGATAATAACAAAATTCTAATAATCAGATATTAAATATTTCATAATCCTAATCAAATTATAACTACCCAAATGGAAAATCTAACATTCATATTTTAATTCTCTTTATTTTTATCCCAAAACCAAGATATTTATACCCCCCCCCCCCCCCAAAAAAAAAAAAAAAAAAAAAACTTCCCCCAACACACTCACCAAAAGAAAAATATTAAAAACATGATTTTTAGCCAAAAATAAAATTCTGAAAGTTAATTTTAACAATCCCTAATAATAAAAAATTACGAAAAGCCTCCTAAAAAATACGCAAACTCATAAAAAGCGCAAAGAATCCCCTCAAAATATGAAAATCGCAAACATCCCCTTGGACCTCTAGAAAAACATAAAAATTATAAACAATTCTCTGAAGCAGATATTAAGAATAGCTTACTAAAAATATGAAATTACATACCAAAAACCTGAAAAATTGTAAATACCCCCTTAAGTTATGATAATTATAAAGAAAACCACCATAAAATTTTGAAAGTTACAAGCAGATCTCTAAAAATTGGAAAATTACAAACATCTGAAAAATCCTAAATATATAGACCCTAAACAATATAAAAATTACAAACAACTACCTAAAAATCTGAAAATTACAAATAGTACATTGAAAAATATTAAAATTACAAATAATGCCCTAAAATTTCAAAATTGCAAATAGCCCTGTAAACAATCTAAAAATTGCAAATAAACCCTTAATTAGAAAAACATAAATAACCTTCGAAAATCATTAAAAAAAACTACAACTACCCTCTAAAAATTACAAACAACCTACTTTAAAATCTTAAAGTAATAGACTCCTTGAAAAAACCAAAATTACAATAAGACATCTTACAAATAAGAAAATTGCAATAAACCACATAAAAAGATCTGAAAGTTATAAACAATACTTTCAAAAATCTGAAAACTTTCAAACAGACATTTAACTTTTGAAAAGTTATGAACAACATCATGAAAAAAGTATAAAATACATAGTTCATGTGTAGTTGATCACATCTACAGGTTTGGATTTTTATTTTTGGGTTCCGGTTTTCAAAATTGGGTTGATAGCATCCGCATGTTAAAAACGATTAATAGTAGCCTAGAACAACGTCATGAAAATTTTGTAAATTACATAGTTCATATGTAGTTTATCACATCTATCGGTTCGGATTTTTATTTTTGGGTTCCGATTTTCAAAATTGGGTTTATAGCATCCGCATGTTGAAAACTATTAATAGTAGCCTAGCTCAACTATATATATATATATATAGAGAGGGATAGACCAACTAAATTTATAATGCAAGGTCATGTATATTTAACATCTATTTCATGGTGTAACCAAGTTTCCTCCTTGGCATGATTTATCTGTAAGAGGAAAAAAATCAATCACAAATCTGATTTTCTTGAGAAGCTGGTGATTTGCTTGGATTGATTACATCCATTGAACAATATTACCAAGGGTCCATCACAGCTATCAAAATTATTGATTGTGTTTTTTCTATGTTGGTCCTCAAAATTACCAAAAATTTGACATAGTTCTTGTGGTAAAAACAATATTTGAAATAAGTAACCTGAACCATGTATAATTCGTTGAATGTTTTGCATGTGTTTACCTATGCGTCCATGCATTGGTACGTCGCATATTACCATATTAATTTCCAAACTCGTATCAACTGAAACTAAATGAAAAATGTATAATCAAAACCAATCCAATTAAACAACAATCACATGAATATATGAAGGAAGCAAATGCAACTGTAATTCAGGTAAATCTTTTATAAAATACCATAAATGTTAAATTGCAAATTGGCTACAGAAAAGGAGAAGGAACAAAAATGACTTACTTGACATTGGTTCCTGCAGGTGGAGCCGAATTCAAACAAAAAATAGGATCATATGATGATGAGGACACAGAAGTTTGATAGAGTGCACAAAGGCCTTACTGTCAAGCAACTTGCTAGCATGTGAACTGAGTCACATTTTCTGGCAGAAGTCACTGATTGTCGTCAATTTGATCAACATCATCCAAAGGAGTTCTAAGCATAAAGACTACGTGATCTCCCAAAGTATCCAATATAATAAGCATCTCCCTAATATCAGAATTTGCTCCGTCTTCCGGTTTAAACCCATAAACCATATCCCCAATCTCAATCCAGCTGCATCCAGGGGTTGTCTTGAGTCCCCTCTCCTTCATTAGCTTCCGAACATTTGCTACTTTGTTCCCATGACCAACACTTGCATATAGATTTGCTAGTTGCATGAGTTGTAGCACAACCCGGTTCTAATAAAAGGCGTCTCTCTGCAGCATAAATTCCAATCCAAACACTCCCATGAACCCTACAGGATGATAATAACGAGCCCCATATGGCAGCATTTAGACTCATGGGCATTTTCTCAACGAAATCAACTGCTTCTTCAAGTAAGCCAGCACGACCTAGGTGCGAAAACCTTGTTAGGGAAGGGTAAACGTGTAGCACCTACCGTTATCCCTTGCAAAGACAGATAATATAAGGCAGGGATGCTTGGGTTTTGGATGAATGGTGTAGACCGAGCTGAACCATTAAGGATAGCCAGCGAGCCTAGTAGAAGAGGGCTCGACATTGACTCACCAAACGACGTTCGGCAATAAGAGAACTTTCCCAAACCGAGTTGGTAAACAAGAGACAAACTCTCCTCAGCCTAAACCAAATATCGCCACTTCACTGCCTTTGATATAGTCGCTGAACCCAAATCCAAAGCCTGACACTTTGACAGGATTCACGGATCCAAATGTGAATGTTTCATGAGCAAGCTCTCCTCGAGTGGACGTTCCACCAAGATAACTATAGTTGTGGTAGCTGCAGTCTGGATCACAGTTACGTAAATCTGCTGGGAGAGATTGGTATAAGGCATTGGTACAAGAAATTTCTGTAAAAGTGATTGATTTTGAGGGATTGTAGCATTTGTCGCAAGGACGTTGACGTTGGAATTGGGTCCAGAGAAAATCGCTTCCAGTGTTGAGGATGGCCGATAAAGGGACGGATGGTCAGCCAATTGTGTACTCTAGTTGGTACCCACCATTACGTGGGGCATGATTTGCTCGAGCTAGGATGTCGTTTGAAGATGTTAAGCTAAGAATGTGGTGTCTGGTTCATTGGATTGCACGTTGAATGAGTTCTGGCTTGCTGAGATTGAGCTTAGAATCAACGTAGGTGAGGTCGATTCTGATGCCAGTTGATACGGATATTGGGGAGATCAACAGGAGAGAAACAACTAGAAGTGGTAGGTTTTTGTCCATTTCTTTGCTGTTGGTTAAAAGAGGTTAGTGAGATGGACATAGATGGGAAAATAGCTGGATTTATAATGTTAAGCTCGTGTTTTTTAGCATTATTTTCATGTTGTAACCAATAAGTTTCCTCCTCCTTGGCATGAGTTATCTGTCAGAGAAGAAAATCAATCAAAAACACGATTTTCTTGAGAAGCTGGTGATTTGCTTGGATTGATCACATCCACTGAATGGTATTACCGCGGGTTCCTTATAGGCAGCTATCAAAATTGTTGAGTTTTTTCTATCTTGGCCCTCAAAATTACCGAAATTTTGAAATAGTTCTTGTGGGAAGAACAATATTTGAACTAAGTCCCTTGAACCAAATAGGCCTTGTTAATGTTTGTCGTTAAAATCTAACTTGGGTCATCTTAAAAACCCAATAAAATTAACCCTACTACCTCACCAGAACTTCATGGTTCTCGTGTCCAGAAAGGTTTTGAGATGGTATCAGGCTGAGTCCATATTCAAATTCCTCTAAACATATTTAAAATGGATTCTAGAAATAACATACTGACAGGTAAACTATCCCAACCATTGATCCATGAAAAAGGAGTTCAACTTTCGGGGACATGTTTGAGAATAAAATTATAATAATTCTCAACTCGCACCAGAACTTCAATTTTTTGATGTACTGGAAGAGACGTTAAGATTTATATCCTAGCTTTCTCATGGTAAGCATGTCAGCTTTATATTAGCAACTCTTAAAAGATTAAGGTAGACATCTCTAATTCAAGGTAATATACTGGTCTCGCCACCAAAGGCTACAACCTATGTTACCTGGGTACTTCATTATTGAAGCCGTACCCGTACCGGACACGTACCCGACACTTTCCCGTACCCAAACTTCATAGACACTTCTTGAATATATGCATGCATTTATTACAACATGTACTCAATTAGACGATATATGTGTTAATTTAAAACACTTGTCAAAGACTTCCTGGACGTAGAACTTACACTTCACATCCATCTTTTGAAACTAATGGGATACGGGTCGGGTTCGTTTCAGTCCATACCCAAGTTCAAAACTATATAGTTAATGGGTCTTTTAGATGTCTAGTAAAAAAATAAGTAGTTTACAATTCACGATAATCAATATGATAAAATAAACTCAAAAATGTGATCGAAATTTTAATTCTAATGACACATGAAGCGGAAAAAATTATCTCATGTACATTATTAATTCAATATATATATGTAGTTGTGTCCCCGAACCCAACATTTTACAGTTTTGCCGTGTCCCCTACCCGTACCCGCACCCGTACCAGTACCCGTGCCCATTTCCATGCAACTTAGGCTACAACCAAACAAGATAAAATGCATGACGTAAAGCAATAAGTTTATAGAGAACCTAGGAGCTCCTTGGTCATCTTACACCTCTCAGGAATTGATTGACATCATTTTAGTAGGTCAGGCATATTTAATTGGCTCTTAATATCCATACCATCTTTGATGCACATTTAGCTTGCTTTGTTCAAACTTCTGTTAACAGCAATCTAGCATGTTCCACAACTTCGAGCACAGTTAGATGACAATCCACAGTTCATTTCTGAAATACAGCCAATAATCTATTCAACCGGTGGTTTCTACTGTAGATTGACCTAAAGCTATCCATGTTTTCCCGCTCCAAGAAGTTCTTTATGCAATGAAGTGGCCTTTAAACTTTTACTCCGCAAACAGGCACGATAGAACTGTCATACACCGTTATGAATTTCCTCAGAAGAAAAATATCTTTGATGAGTGTCAACCGTGACGATGATGTATAATCAAAGGTAATCCAGTTAAACAACAGTCAAATGAATATATGAAAGAATAAATGCTAAGTGGAAAATCTTTTATAAGTTTGGCTACAGAAAAGGACAAGGAACAAAAAACACTTAATACATGAACTTACTTGACATTGGTTCCTGCAGGTGGAGCCGAGATTCAAACATAAGATAGCATCATATGATGATTAGGACACGGAAGTTTGATAAAGTGCACAAAGGCCTTAATGTCAAGCAACTTGCTAGCAAGATGAACTTTTAGTCACATTTTTTAGCACAAGTCACTGACATTCGTCAATTTGATCAACGTCATCCAAGGGAGTTCTAAGCATGTATCTCAAAGACTCCATGTGATCTCCCAAAGTATCCAACATAACGAGCATCTCCCTAAGCTCAGAATTTGTTCCATCTTCAGCCTTAAACCCATAAACCTTATCCCCAATCTCAATCCAGCTACATCCAGGGGTTGTCTTGAGCCCCCTCTCCTTCATTAGCTTCCGAACATTTGCCACGTTGTTCCAATGCCCAACACTTGCATATAGATTTGCTAGCTGCACATGAGTTGTAGCACAACCCGGTTCTAATAAAAGGCGTCTCTCTGCAGCATAAATTCCAATCCAAACATTTCCATGGACCCTACAGGATGATAATAAAGAGCCCCATATGACAGCATTTGGACTCATGGGCATTTTCTCAACGAAATCAACTGCCTCTTCAAGTAACCCGGCACGACCTAAGAGGTCAACAATGCACGAATAGTGATCTAATTCTGGTTTTATACCTTGCTTAACCATTAACCTAAAGCAATGATGCCCTTTATCAAGGAGACCGGCATGTCGGCATGAGGATAGAACTCCAAGGAAAGTGATGGCATCTGGTAAAATATTACATTTTTCCATCTCTTTCAGTAAGTCTAGAGCCTGATCAGCATTGCCATAATGTGCATATCCAAAAATCATGGAGTTCCAAGAGATAAGATCTTTAAATGGCAATTTCTCAAAAATATAGCATGCTTCTTCAATAATCCCACATTTAGCATACATTGATATAAGCGCATTTGAAACGTGTGTATATGAACCATAACCAATTTTCATCTCCTGGCCATGAAAACTTCTCCCGAGAGCAAGAGATGCACAGTTGGTGCACACGCTCAGAAGGCTCGCATATGTGAAGTCATTCGGTTTCGAACTGACGTGCCCCATCAAATTAAACAGATAAACGCAAGTTTCAAGTCGCCGGTGTTGAGCATATCCTGAGATGACCGCAGTCCATGATACAGTGTTCTTCACTGGCATCTCATTGAAAACTCGGTGTGCGTCATCTAGCTTCCCACACTTAGCATATAGGCTGATCAGCGAGGTCCCAATAGGAACACGGCCATAAAAACCATTTTTCAAGGAGAGACCGTGAAGTTGCGACCCTTCCTCAAGCGCGCCGTTAGCTCCACAAGAACTAACGGCGGAAGCAAGAGTAGCTGCACCCTCTTCTGCCAAAATCTTTGAGCTCCAACGAGATGTTTCCTCTGCTGGCGACCTCAGTTTCTCGTGCTCGCCGCCTTTTACAAGTTTCGGGCACTTTCTCTGGCCAGTTTCCAAAAGGCCCTGCAGACAACTTCGAATAAGTCGACCATGGCTATCGTCTCGACCAATGTCACAATTTTTCGGAGTGACAAAATCTAAGATCTCCAATGCCTTGTTAATGCCCTTGCGCTCTGCCTTAATGGATCTCCCAAGAGATGCGGGGGATCCGAAACCCGAGATAAACCGATAAGCCGCATGAATACGTTTGAAGCTCATCAGGAGAGCAATCCATGGGCTTGTTCACTTCCTCAAAATACAAGATGAATTTTTATCAGTGGCCTCATTTCGAAAAATAAACAACAGGAGGCGCGCCTGAAATTTGCAAATACAAAATGGTTAAATCATTAATTAATGGGTTTATTCGCTTGTTATTTTTCATTTTTACGCAATTGAAATCCTGTAAGCGTGTCAACGAGTACGAATATTTTCGGAAAAAGGAAGGATCTTTACATGAAACTGACCGGGTACGAAGACATCGAACGATCAAAATGAATCAAAAAATAAAAAATAAAAAAAGAAATCAAATGAGATTTAAAGTGTAATAATTAGAGAGCACCTGCGGCTGAATCATCGCCCAAATGGGAGGAGATCGGGTTCGTGGTGCTGCGCTCTGAGATGGTATTGAGAGGAGGGAAAAGGAAAATTGGGGAACTTCAGGGGAGAATGGGCGGCCCATGATTGTTAAAAAGGGGCTGAAGCCCAGGTGACGGGAAAACTCGGCCCGTAGCGGGTGGGTGGCGGCGAATGAAGGAAGGGAAGGGAGGTGGGAAGACCCACCTCGTAAAATATTTTGGTAACATCCCTTCTATTTTATGCAGGATGATTTGATTCCCTGTAAAAGATTTTGGACAGGGATAGATAAGGTTAAAAAAAAATACTGCGATTAGTAGGATCGCCAGTTCGATACGTCAGGCTAAAAGGGTCTACTAAAAGGATTCGAATCATGTCCACAACCGAAAGAGTAGTGAAGGAACCACTACCGAATTGCAATCATTAGTTATCTAGTGGGTGGTTATAATTTTTTCTTCAAGTGTAAATTACAAAAGAGTACAATACAAGAGTCATGATATGTGTTAAATTTAAAATGTATCATAATCACCCACAGAAATAATTAACAACTAGGGTTAGAAGCAGTGAGCGTTCTCTCCACTACGTTTTATAGTAGAGATGATCCAAATTGATACTAAAAGGGGCTACGTGCAATTAGCCAATACTGATGAAAACAGTTTAAAGTACTAGCCTTTCTTAGAAAAATGGGAGAAATACCCCCACGAATTAGAGTTCAATTTTCTCAGGCTCCTGCAATTTTAGCAACGAGGATACTCACAAGTTTTTGATGGTATCGTGAGCTTCGTACAAGTCTTTGATGATATCGCGAGCTCTTAAAGAAAATCATACCAGCGAGAGGCAAGAGATCTCGGCATGTCCCAAATATGAAATATCAAAACTTGATTGTTAATAACCATCTAACTTTCAAGGATTTGATTTTCGTCCAACCAACAACTTTAAAGTTATCAATTTGTTTCGGGAAAAAAGAAGAAGAAGAAAGATAAATCTATTGCAGAGAAAAAGGAATTTAAAAAGGCTGGAAAAATATATAAAATCCAGTTGGCGCGGAGATTCTGTTTTTTCTTTTTTCCGCTCTGCGTTCCAGTGAGTATATCACTATCACGGAAAGTAGCTTAAAAAGCTCTCGCCTGCGGTACAACCAGAAGAAGAAGAAAAGGTTAAGAATGAATAAGAGCTGTAATTTGTACACTCAAGAGACTCCAAAATTCCAAGTGAAGTAGAACAGTCTAATAAAGTCGAGCCAACAGTACTCGTGCTCCTTAGAAACAAAAACACCACAGAGCTGCAAGCTTTAGAATGCAAAAGGGGAGGAGAGATGAAGGCAAGCGAAGGATCGAAAGCAGAACATTTTGAACAAATTCCAGCTATCCCAAGAATTTTCTTTCATGCATCAAGTAGCTTCTTCACATTTACAGGAATAGCTTTGTGCTACGCCTGCTGACCGCAATAACGATAACACGCAGAAAGGATGATGCACAAGAAGCAAAGTACAACCGTTACAGATAAAAGTCGTTCTGTGAACCAAAGGAAAAGAATGTACCTACTCCTCAACTCCAGCTTCCCATCCATGCCTTAATATTCTGCACAGCGGTAATTTATAAGGGAGTTTTAGGATAAAATTAAACATGTACAATCTTCAACAATAACATATTCACCTCAGAGAGAGTTGAAGTATCTCAAAGGAACAAATTTTCTAAACAGACCCATTTCAAAAAAAAAATTTAAAACCGACTTTTTTTTTTACCAAAACCGACCCTATTTTGTGATTAGCAGACTAACCATCTTCCTAAATAGTCGGGGTTGGCAACCCCGATTATTTGGGACATTAATTTTTAGGGTTTAAGGTTTCTAATTAGGGTTTAACACCGTCCTAAATAGTCGGGGTTGCCAAGCCCGACTATTTAGGAAGGTGATTAGTCTGCTAATCACAAAATCGGATCGGTTTTGGTAAATAAAAAAAAGAGTCGGTTTTTAAAAAAAAATTGAAATGGGTCTGTTTAGAAAAATTGTTCTATCTCAAAGCATTAGTCATTCTACAGAATGCAGTTGGCTACCTGTTACGGAAATTGATTCCATAATAAGTGAACAAAATAAGGACAGTCGAGCTGATAAAGGGTTGAACTTTCCAAGATGAAGATAAAAACATTTATATGAAAACCAGAAGAATTAGATTGTACTTCTGAATGGCTCTGCAAATGCCATATGCGCGTAAAATGTCATTATTGTTCCTTTCCTTACAAAACTAAGTTGACACGCCTTATTCTAAGCATAGACTGAAATGGCCTGCCATGCAAGATATTTTCAATGAACATATGGTAGAGTGAACTCCTGACTTGTGAGATGTATACTTGGCATTCTTAGCGACAACGAAAGGTGCAACACATATTAAATTTGGCCTGGAGTATCTGAAGGATATAAGCATGATTGTATCCCTGAAATAGTATCTAAATGGCTGGTATTTATTGAGAAGTAGTGGAAATATCACAAGTAATAGCACATTTTCTCAATTTTATGAAAAGCTTAAACATTCAATACCAAATTAGGCTTTAAGTCAGAAAGATGAGGATGATGCAAGAATTGTCATTCAAGCAACAGACTAGAGTCAGTATCTCCATGTTCTTATAACAAACTTCGTTTAGATATCTGTTTTCAGTTTATCATACCTAACTCTATTCCCCTTCGAGAACCCTAATATGACGAATATTTTGGTATTTTCTTGAGCTACATGACATTCTAACGCATGGAATTATCAAATGCTTCTATTTAAAACTCATGAAACTGTAATAGATCGAACAAATGTGTCTCCGATCTATAAAAAAAGGAAACCTAGATGGTGGTCCTAGATAAAAATATCTGTCAACTACTGTCGACTAGAATTAAGTTGCAGCCTCATGAAAAGTGCATCCTATCTGTAGGAACTGAATAAGGCACTTAAAAGACAGCTGTAAACATTTTGTCTTGTTAGTTATCAAGGGTGCAAGGTTACTAATCCAACACTTCTTCTAATTCCTTTTCTACTTCCAGCGAAGATTCCACTGATTTTCAGATAATCACTTACACCATAGCCTTTCTCATTTGAAGATCCTGTCTAATCACATTATATATGCTCGTATGAATCAAACTGGTTTTGCACTATATTATTACCATTACAGCAATATGTACCATATAATTGGCATAATACCTAGTCTTTCATTTTACAGTATATCTACCTCAGATTCCCTATCAGATAAAACTCGGGTGCATGAGACATGAGCCCTTAACAATAATATAAGAAGTCACTAGATGAAAGACCCTTGTACTTATCCAGATATATCTCACTAGTTTAGCATAGCTTGAAACTCTAAGGTCCCTTGTACTCTTAACATAACAAGTGCAACCGTGGCGAGGAATAATTTGCCCTTGACTGAAGATTAATTATTTTAGTCAAGGTTTTAAATATCGGATATCGGGGAAATATCAGATGGCCAAAATTCATATCGGATTGCGGATATCAGGGAAATATCGGGGATATGTGGTAAATATCGGAATGCCATAATGAATGTTTGCATACATAGTATAATGCATTAAAATGTAATCTCAACATATGTAATAAAATTTAAGCATACAAAATATGAATAATATATGTTTAGGATCACTAATCAACCTTCTAAAACAAACAAAAGTGCAAAGCAACGTTGCAACATTCGATCTGCTTTTTTTAGGGCAAAATGTCATTTGATATAATGGGGAAATCTTGATATCTCGCCCAAAAATTCCAAACAGGGTATATTATTTTGCAACAAGCTATATAAAAAGATATATTGGTCCACATATCGGCTAATATATCGGCCATATCGGGGATTTATCACTCAAAATAGCCAAAAAGAGGTAAAGGATATTTAAAGACCATATCGGTTGCGGCAAGCCCTGTAAAAGGATATATCGGGGGATATATCGGGCCATGTCGGGGATATTTAAAACAATGATTTTAGTCTCGACTCATGTAATCGTATACTTAAAATTCTTCAAACGCCAAATATGATTAATACACTACAACCATACTATCCTAAGACCCTTCTACTTATCCAGATATATCTCACTAGTCTAGCATAGCTTAAAACTCTAAGGTCCCTTGTACTCTTAACATAACAAGTGCAACCGTGGCGAGGAATAATTTGCCCTTGACTGAAGATTAATTATTTTAGTCTCAACTCACGTAATTGTATACTTAAAATTCTTCAAACTCCAAATATGATTAATACACTACAATCATACTATCCTTTCAAACTCTAAATATAATTGACATAATACAACCAACAAACCTTACCATACCCAATCAACTGAAAACATGATCTCAGTGCAAAATAAATGATATCCCCAGACATATGTTAAAACATATACATAGATCAATTTCAAAATCAATTAAGATATTCATGAACTCAATAAATTGAGCAAAACGATGAGTATATTTCCTTGAAAAATAGCAACGAAAGCATCCTCTAATGGAAGTTCTGTGAAAGTTAAAGCAGCAGCGTACTAAATAGAAAAAATTGTGGTCCCTGCAAAAGAGACATGCCCTATAATTTCTTCCAAATAGATGTAGCAATGTCTCAATAGAAAGTCTATCAACCAGACAATTGGCATACTAGTTTTCCTTTTTTCGGCGTATAATTGATTCCATAGTACTTAGTAATCGATTTCTCGTATTAATCATTCCACTGGTATTTTTTATGTTTTATAAGTGATGATTGACTACATCGATGTTACTCCCATTACCAGTTTCTTATAGAGATCATTTTGCTGTTGTTACCATATTTTTATGTGATGAATGACTACACCCATGATCTTTTCCCAGGTTTTTAGTTTTATATGTTCCATCTTTATATTGTGCCTCCTTTCTTATGCCTGTAGGCAAAGAACGCCTCCCCATGTCCATGTACATGGAACACCCCCTTCTCATCTCCATAGGCGAGGAATAAACCTCCTTTCTTGATTCTCTCCACTTTTGGACCCATAGTTCAACTCTACTTCTCATCTAGTGTTAGGAAGTTCGTGGGATACATCGAGTGCTATGAACTTTTCAGAGAAATCTCATTCCAATATTATGCAAACCCATGGATTAGAATCAAACACATGTCTAGCAGATAAAAAAGAAACTTCTTAAGTAATTAAATTGAAGTGTGTAATTCAGCACATATATGTCAGAAAGAGATGATTGCAGTTTACGATTCCTAATGACAAACCAAAACAGCTTTTTTAACTCTAGAGCACACCAAAAGCCACAGGGCCGTCTCAAGCATTTTTGAGGCTCTAGGCAGAGAAAAATATTTAGGACCTTAACATTAAAAAATTAAATATTAGTTTCTAAAAAATGAATTTTATATAAAATTTAATTTTCTAGCTTTTGAGATGCAAAGTTACTAATTAAATTTTATATTCAAGCTTTAATATTCAATTGATAAAATTGTCAAATTATTTAATCTCTTGAGACATTGTTGAACGTAAATAAGATTTTATTAATAAAAAGATATAAAAGAAAAAAAATAAAAACACAAAATACAGAACATATCCGTGAGCTATATATATATATATGTGTGTGAGTGAGTGAGAGGAGAATGAATGTAAATTAATTAAAATAAATAAAAACCAACAAGCTTACGTTTTATTTTGGGGCCTTCTGGATTAGAATTGCAATTATGTATGTTGAGTATCAAAGATTAAACAAATATGAAAGATGAGTGAATGAGAAGAAAATAAAGGAAGTTAGCAAGAGAAAAAACGCATAAACTATGCATAAATAAGAATGAGTATTTAATATGTGCTTTTCTCTTTTTTAACTTTTACAATATAATTAATTATAGAAATAAAATATAAAAAGTTACAATTAAACTTTATTAGTGTTCTTTTCCAAAGATAAAGATAATTATATATAATTATAGCAATAAATGATCAATTAAAGATAATTGATAATTTAGAATCCTTACAATAGTCAAGAGAGAGAGAGAGAGAGAATTTTTTTTTGGGGGGCCCCAATAAAATGGGGGCCCTAGGCATATGCCTTAGTGGCCTATGCCTTCAGCCCGCCCTGAAAAGCCAGAGAAAGTGATAGATACGCTAGAACAAGAAAACACACACATGATTTACTTGGTTCAGAAATTTTCCTATTGGGAGATCTTTTAAAAGAGTTCACTAACCAGAGTAGCAGCATCCCTTTAGATTTCTAAGATAAGTCGGACAGGTTTCTTCCTTTATATTTCCCTCTTTCTCTATTTCCTCCCCTCTGTTAGAAACGACTACAAGATCTTGCTTATGTGCATATTTATAGCCCAATCATCCCTCTTCTCCTTGATTTCCTTGGGTTTCGGAAGAACCGCTTAGGCACATATTTATAGCCCAAGGTTATGCAGCATGAACATAGATACAAGGAACAGACTACACCATTACAGATACATAAAGAAAATAAGCTCTAGATAACCAGTGTACCACATGGCACAGACATGACACTACAAATTGCACACATATATCCAGATCTCTATCAATATGTGTGTGAATGAAGCATTGGCATAGACAAACATAGTGTTTTGAAACTTATAAGCTTTATCATATTTTGATAAAGCTTTATCAAAATAGTGTTTTGAAAATTATAAGTTTAGAGTACTCACTCTTGAAAATTATAAGCTTTATCATATTTTGATATAAAATAGTGTTTTGAAACATTTTACTAAGCATGCACCTTCAAATAATAAGCAATAGGTGCATATGAATCATTGTTTAATATATTAGTTAATAACACAGTGACAAAAAAAGAAGCTCAGAAAGATGGCCCAAATATTTACCTGTCTTGAATGATTGCACAATAAATTACCACAGATTACATCCTCTGATCAACCATTCTTCACAGTGAACTTGCGTTCAAGTCCAAATGGCCTCTCTTCTGAATGGCACAATAAGAAAAACACCGTCATCAGCTTTCTAGCATGTAGTTTTGTCAGCTACAGATTCTTCAAGGAATACGGAACTTGATCTCCCAAGTCACTCTCCGGAATGGTCCAAATCTCTATATGCTACTACAACTTTTCTATTAAATGGATGGAGGCTGTGATGAATCAATATTAACATCAGAATTAAGATCAAATCCAGCAGACAGACAAATATCAGATGGATTTTCATTCCCAGGATCATTTGCAGCGTCCATGTCAGGATGTTCCGTAGCATCTTTCCTTGGCCTTTTCCAGTTCTTCGTGGATGAGGTACCATCATCATCAAAATCTTCCTCCTCCCTGTCTCTATGTAGATAGACCCACAACTTTCTGTCACCGTCAAAGTGTATACAAGGATCAACCTCATAGTGCAACCTATCAAGCGCCCCACTGACAACTTGGTTAACTTGTGCATCATTGACATCTTCAACAATATACTGAGAATCCCTTATCAAAGTACAAACATCTGCTCTGGTTCCGATACTTCCAGGCAACCTAGCAGCTGCATCTCTAACAAGACAAAGAATAGTAACATGTGGTGGCCGACCAGGCTTAAGAATATAATGATCTCGAGCTTTTGATGTCGGTTTTCCAGCACCTCTTCTCATAGGAGCAACACTAGATTTTTTACCATCAGCTGCTGTGTAGGAGAAAGCCCTATCCGGAATTGAGTATCTTAAATACTCTTCTTTACGAAAATATGCCTTTTGTTCATCAGAGCTCGGGTTGATGGTGTGTGGATTCTTTTGAGTTTTTAAGTCCCTGAATCTTTCCTTCTCATCCAAGTTGACCAGAGAGCTAACGGGTGGTGCTGGAAGATTTCCAATTTGCTGAAGTGTTTCTTGACTACTTTTCAGCCAATTAGCGAAGGAATTGACCAGATTCACAAGTATCTTGTATGGAATACCCCAAGCCTCAGGTGAAGTTTCCTCTTCTGTATTATCACTATCAGATGGGCTAGATGAAACAGGACCAACCCAAGACCAACCTTTATTTGACTTCTCATATGACACCAATGCCTTCCAACCTTTTGCCCCTAATGGTGCTGTCTTTGATGAGAATATCTTCAAAACTCCTCTGATTAAATCCTGAAGTGGTTCTTGGGTTTCAAGGATACAAGGATCTCCTGGGTTTGACCTGACACGGTTGGCAATCTCTTGAACTGTAAGAGAAGGGAGACAGTTCTTCCCTTCATGTTCTGCAGTAGTTTCATTTGTGTTCTTATGAGAGTGAGGTGTGCTCTCAACTGTGTTATTATGAACTTCCCTCTTCACATCATCTTTCCAAATATGACTGCGCCCATCGGTAACATCATCCACAGAAGAAGAGATCATTGCCTTCCGGATAGCTGAAAGAAGATGGATGATGGAGAACGAGAAGCCTGTGTGGATAGTAGGAGTGATCAGAGTAAATGGCTTCTTCTGTGGCTGTGGCTGCATCTCCAGCTCAATTTCCAAAATTTCTTTTCCTGAAATATCCAGCTCTGAGGTAACATCAGTCGACAAACCTGTTTTGGAACCAGTTGCAGAATCTATCTTCTTCTTTTTCTTAATACTGAGGTCATTCACATTCTTGTTTGTATTGAAATCTTGGTAGAGAGATGCATACGGCTCATCTTGATACATGTCCACCTCTACCTTTCCTGTTCGTTTCTTTGCCACACTCTTGCATCCCAACAGAGGCATATATGATTCAGCCTTGGCAGTCCAGCCATCAACCATCTGAGTTTGGTTCCTGGAGTTAACGGCCCTCATATGGCCGTTGTGTAAGTTGGAAGTTACATTAGAAGCATCATGAAATCCTTCCACCTGAACATTACTATAGTCATCTCTATACCTCGTTTTCAACTGAGATCGAACAGGATTAATAGCACTTTCCTGCCTTTTCTCCCTTAAGAAAGGCTTCTGCTTCCCATGTCTCACATAGGATTCTACTTCTGGTGCATGGATACCTGTCCTGCTCTCAAGCGCGACATTATAAAGTTTTTCACCATGTTTTGCAAGTTTATTAACCTTCATAGGATCATATACTGATCTATCGGCTTTAGAGTGACGACGACCCATGCCACCATTTAGACACTCCAATTTCTTAACCCAAGGGTTGGCATCTTCACCTTCCACATCCTGATCTGATGAATCAGACTCTGTCTCCTCTAATTGGTCAAACATGGTGTTGCCCCTGGAATATTCCATGTCCATACTTTCAGTGTCATCGACTTTACTTCTGAAGCTTTTCTTCTTCAAAATATTTGGCATATTATCCAAGTACTGATGGGCGCCGCTGTTATATGCAGGACTGAATTTGTAAGGTCTCGTTGCTGAATTACGACCATGTCTACTTTTATAACTACCAAACTCCTCTTGCATCTTCCATTTCTTGCCGTTCACATTCGTCCCATCAAATTTAAGAGGATACTGAGTAGGTCTATTGGCATCTGACCAGTCAACCTGAGCTCCCATCCTCATATGATACTGAGCTTGAACTTTTTTCGGAGACATCCAGTCCTCACGAGAATGCTTGCTCTTCTTCAGATTATATTGGGGATCATGGGCATAGGAAGCAATAGTAACCCCATTCGAATGTTTTTGTTTACCAGTCAAACCCGACAATCCAGTATAATCCTCATCGTCAAATTTGTCACATCTTTTCAAGAGCTGCTGCTTCTTTTCTGCTTTTGATGAAACAACCATGGATGCACTAAAGACACAATCCGTCTGCCTCTTCTCATGACCAACAATACCCAGCTTTTGGTTCGTAGACTTTCCAAACCCTTCAGCATTTGCTATAAACCGGCTCTCTGGATTTTCAGTCTCACGTTTGATCCTTTTAGAGTAGAAATGATCATCCCCTGAATCCATCTCCAGCTCCAAATCCCCCCCATCCTCATCACCAAAACTGCTCCTACTCCTCATAATATTCAAAACTCGAAGCCTCTCCTCAACACCATAACCCTCACATTTCTCCCAAGAACCTTTAATCCGTAAAAGCCCACTCACCATAGAATTATGATACTTCCGAACCCGATAATAATGTTCTCTCTTCTTAAAGGCACTCAAACCCCGGCGGTAAACACTAACCCCCGGTTCAAACTCCCCGCCCTTCAATTTACCAAAGAAATCAAGAACAGGGCTAACAAAGTGGAAATTCCTCGACGACAGAAGCTCCACTAGGGTTCTGGACAAGGTTTCTTGGTCCATATCAGGGAGGTACTTGGACAAGTAAAACCTTTCATCTTCAGACAACAATTCATTCCAACTACTAACAGAGAGAATTAAGCTCAAGTCTTTGAGATCATACAGTTCGATCGGCACGCAGAAGCTCTGGTCCCCGAACTGCACCAACTCGGTCCCCGCCTCGGCTGCCGTCAGATTCCATGCCGGAGTCGAGCCCGGAGAGATCAGAGCCGTCGGGGTCATCGGATTCATCGTCGGAGGAGTCAGAAGAGACCGTACCTACGCTTTCCGGCGAGAAATTGAGGTTGGGGTTGGAAACCCTAGCTCTCTTGCCGCTCTTGAGGATCGCCATGGAAAATTTCGGGGGGAGGAAGAACGAACTTGAACTGAGATTGCAGAAATCGGTTAGAGAGAGAAATTGGAAACCCTAATTTTGATCAAAAGGTGGGGAAATTCTCACCGGAGCGTTCAAAGACGGATGCTCCGCCGGCGGGAAATTTTGGGGGAGGGCGGCGATTTCGGAAACCCTAGAGAGAGAAAGAGGGTAGAGAGAGAAAGAGGGTAGAGAGAGAGAGAGGGGAAAGGGGGGAATGTGGGGTATATATAGTAGAGAGAGAAAGAGAGAGAGGAGGGGTTTTGGGAAGAAGAAGATGAAGACGCGAACGAGGAGAGAGAAAGAGACCGGTGGCTTTCAAGTCCCCCCCGCCCAAAAGGGGGAAAGTCGAGAGATATTTATGGGCTGGGCTTTTGACTTCGCCAGGTTGTGGCCCATAGCTCCTGTTTAAAGTATTTTATTTCCTCCTTTTTACCATTCTTTTTACTTTTTCACGATAGAAGAAACCCTAGAAAAATGAAATGACTCGCGCAATTTTGACTGTGTGTGATCCAGTGAGTTTAGTGATCTACGTGAAGACTCATAAAGGAGACAAAATGCTTGAAATCAATGGTTAGAGAGGACCTTTGTTTTTCAAATAAAATGTTGGACAAATTTTCAAAACAAACTCTTTTGCAAATTTATTCCCAAAAACAACCCATTTCTCTCTTATTTCACCATGTCGGTTTTTACAAAAAAAGTTCTGAAACTTCACGGGAGTTCAACTCCTATGAAGTTTCACAGTTCAATAAATTTGTTTTTGAACTAAGAAACTTCACGGGAATTCAACTCCCGTGAAGTTTAGCAGCTTAATTAAAAGCTGCTAAGTTTCGAAACTTAACCGACCTGGTTTCAGCGTTGAGGCTGAAACCAGGTCGGTTTTTACAAATAAAAATTAAAGGGGTCGTTTTTTGGGAATAAAATTGCAAAATGGATTGTTTTGAAAATTTGTCCGGAAAATGTTAGAGAGGCTATACATATATGAATTACCTTTTACGATAAATGTCTAAGCGTGATACTTTGCAAGTTTATATTACAGGTTGACAATATTTACATGAATAAACCTCAAAGATTTAACTAATAGTGGAAACATAATCAACTTTAGTGCCTTTATCACGTCATATACATGCTCAAAATTGATTTGTTAACTTTTTTTCCCCCTTTTTTGATAACGGGGGGTCTCCTACGCCCCAGGGGGAGCCGTCACACCATCAATAAGACTCGACCCTTTTAAGAAAAGAGTTTTGCTATTTGGCTTGCGGGGGCCCGCCGCGAGCCAACGTCGCGTGAGGAGGAGGGGGCAGGCGAGTGGGCCCACAAAGCTGTGGGGCCACTCGCCCTGCCGCCCTCCTCCTCACGCGAGTGCGGCTCGGTCGGCCCCCGGCGAGGCCAAAAAGCATTTCCGTTTAAGAAAACCCCCGGAAATTGGACCACATCTCATATTCATCCCAATTCCAAGAAAACCAATAAGGTTATTCAAACATGGGACTATTCAGCAGAGAGCAAACGCATCCAGCCATCTTGCCAAACACCGAAGGGTGCTTATTAACATTTTTAGCATCCGAAACTTTTAGTATGCAACTTGCATATGTTTGCCCGAATCAGTTCTCATATATCTCTTATCCTCCAGAAATTTAATACAAGCTTGTTGCTCAACTCACAGGATAAAAAAAAGGTAAAAAGGTAATGCTTGGTATTTATTTTCACATGCGTCACATAAAATTCATGGGTAATTACCTCCAATTGTTACAGAGCTCCAGGGGAGTTTACTACATGTACGAAAAGTTTCAACAACAGCAATGAACTATAAATCTGAAACAAGGCACAAAAACGTCCATACTCGTTACGAAGAAATTTATACTTTTCTAGTGATGTCCCAAATACCATAACCCTGTAGTTTTGTTAATTTACCATGCTCATGAAGACCCTTAAGAATTAGGTGTATTAGTTTCTACACGACAATTCCTTGATCTTTCGTTGAGGAATTATGGGTTATGAAGCCAAGTTTATGTTGGAAAAATATCAAATAAAATTATAGGATGTAAAATAAACCCGAAATAAAATAACAAGAAAGTCTGGTCTGATCGGGAGCAGTCGTGTAAACACTTCCCTAGAAGATTGAAGACCCACATATCGTCCTGGCGCAGATGATCCTCTCTCCCCTAACGGTAAAAACCCCCAGAAGCGGCTGACCTTTGTACTCGGGCGAGAGAACAGAGTTCCAGCTCAGACGAATAAACGTTGCCCCAAAAATAACACCAACATATGAACGAAAATAATATGCAGAGGAGAGAAGGGGAAGAAGAGAGAATTGTTTCTGTATATTTTTTCCGAAAGTGAATAAGTGGTGTATATATAGGGTTGAGAAAGCCATTACAACTCCTACAATAATACGGTAACGTTAGTCATAAATTTTCGTAACGTTCCCCATAATGTATAGTCATTACGCACGTTTTAATCGTATTCATAACACTATTTTATGTGGGACTATTCATGACTTTTCTCCAACAAAATATCCAACAATTTACACAACCATTCATCCGTTACTATACTCATTGATTCAAGTTCAACTTCATACCACAAAATTTTCCTTCACTTCAAACATTATAAATCAATTACGTCGAGTATTACCACACATCCGTAGCTAAAGCTTCCACACATCTCCTACTCATGGCACCCAAAATCAACATTCAACTCCAAATTCAATGCCAAAATACAACCGGTATCAGATTCGCTCACAAAAATATGATGAAGTTCTCACTGGAGTCTAACTAGTTTTTAAATTAAAGGAATTTTTTCTGTGATTATGTTGTAGTTTTTATAGTAAAATAATGCAAGTTAAAGAAGATGCATTTGATTTTTAACAAACTTATATTTTTTTTAAATTAAGTTTGATTTATATTTTTTTTTTTTATCTGTCAGCGAAAAAGAACAGTTTCTTTCCCCCTTTTGTTCCTGGTGAACCATAAGAAATGGAGATTGAAATTTTAAACGAACACAACAAATTAACTTAACATCAACATAAAATTAGAGAGTATGGATCGAGTATTATTATAATCTCATTGGTTAATTTGGTTTAATCTGTTTATATTCGTTTTTTTAGAATTTATGTCTTTTTTTCTCGAAAGGTAAGGAAAAATACAGGGGGTTAAGCTAACCCCCTTAGAGGGATTAAAATAAGTGAACCCCTCAAAATGAATGGTTTACTAATACTCCTATTTAGAAGGATTAAGAGTTAACCCTTCCAATTATAAAAAAAATAGTCAAAATCATTGTTGTTCCTAGACACTAAAACTGATCACAATGACTAAAATAAAACTTATTTAACGGGTTAATAATTTAGTCCTTCATATTATCGAATGGGCTAAATACATTAATCTTTCTTTTTAACCCCTCTTCCTTAACACTTTGCCAAACAGGGACTGAGAGTTCAGGTTTGTTGGCACAGAAATTCCCCTGTGACATGTAACTCTATGACGTGGGGAAATATATTCACATTGTGTTCACATTTTATAGCGATACATTGGTAAATTATTCACCGCCGTAAAACTTTATAACAATTTCCGTTTTAAAACCATCATACAAGCCCAGTGACGAAGCCAGGTGAGGCTTGCCCTGGGCAACTGCCCAGGGCAAGGAATTGTGCTTTTACAAGGTAGGAGTGGTCTCGTAGGCAGGTCCTAAGATAGGCAGATTAAAATACACAACAATTACACGAAGAAACCTCAAATATTTAATAGATAGCAGAAACAAAACCAATACATACTTAAAAATTGCTAGAGGAAAACTTGGTTATGGGACTCCTACGCCTAAGGGAGAGGTCGACATCGAGCCCTCCCACAACTAGGAGGGCTCGACCCTTTCAAGAAAGCCCACGATAATTGTGTCGCGTCTAATATCCGTTCCAGAATTGTGTCCCAAATTCAAGACAGCCAACATATTTGAACCTAGGACCATTGCCCAGGGAATAAATCCATCCAACCATCGTAGCCTGGCACACCCCTAGTAACTTTTAGCATGCGACTATGATTATTTTAGCATGCAACTTTTATATGTTTAGGGGTGTTTAGTTGCACAATTTTATATAAAAGTTTTCTCAAAATGTCTGACAATGACAATTCTGTAATTAAAATTTTTTTTTAGATTTTCGTAAACTGTGTTTGGTTCAAAAAAAATTTACAAAAATATTTTCTATAAATTATAAAAAGTACTAAAATTTACAGAAATCAATTTCCTCTCAAATTGGGCGAAAATCCCCTAGAAATCTAACACCACATTGACATTTTTCTACAAATTTAAGGGGTGTTTGGTTCAACTTCTACAAATTATAGGAAATCAGGTTATTTTCTATAAAGTTACGAGTCAATTTCTTGTTTTGAACCAAACAAGCAAAGTAAAAAAAAAACAAGAAAATTGATACTTTTGACTTCTCAAAACTTTTCCTATAATTTTTTTTTAAAATACAAGGAAATCATATTTTGGGTGGAAAACATTTCCTATCATTTGTAGAAATTGAACCAAAGACCTCCTTGGCCTGAAAAATAGTTCCCGTACCTCTTATCCTCCGGAAATTTAATACTAGCTTGTCGCTCAACTCACATAAAAAAAAAGTTAATAATGGGTATCTATTTTCACATACGTCACATAAAATTCATGGGTAGCAACCTTCAATTGCTACATATACAGCTCCAGGGTAAATGCATATGGGCTGCAAGCATAGTAAGTGCCTCATGAAACCACCAGCAGCAAACTATACATCTCAAAAAGGAACAAAAATGTCTAAACTCAGTTATTCCGCTTTGAATTAGGTGGATACAGTTGGTTTTTGTGTCTGATATCAAACCTGCAACCTACAATCAGAACGGAAACGCGATGTAAATATGTAACCTATATAACTTTAGGTAAAGGATAAGACTAGAGACGAAATTAAATCAAAAAATTGAATGCACACTCCTAGTCCCTAGAGATGATCTTTACCCGTATGGGTTTGACCAACCTCAAAGATGTGAAGCTCCACATTTTTATTTCCCACTTGAATGCACTGTGATAAAAAAGAAAACATTTCAAATATAGTATGTGTACTCATACATACAGAGGGAAAATATGGGGTTATTCCGTACTCATATTTGAGGCCTAAGAGGTGAAGTACTGTCGCACAACTTGTAATATTTCCAAAATGTAAAATCACCTCGCAATTCTAAGCTTGGATCAGGGGTCGAGGAAAAATAAGCACATTTTGCTTGCTGACTTCTTGGTTAATTCCCGAGATGTACTCAAAAGATATCCAAAGGAGAGAACAACTGCAGCTATGGATGTAACGAGGCAAACTAGTTACTATCGTTTTTAGCGGTCACAGTTATGCTGTTACAATGATTTCTATGTGAAATTCAATATTTGTAAGTTTACAGATATTAAATAGAGTTTCATATGAGATATGGACAATTATCCTAATACTCAGCTCGCCCCTTAATCTTGCAGCACAGTTCTTTCTAGTCAAACAGCTAACCTTCATCACAATGATGAGTCGCTTTTTACAGTCTATGAGCATTTAACTTTGCAGGGTAAAGCGTATTTCATTTCTTTCGTAATACTAGTCTGGTCAGCCATTTTCTAGTAGGCCGATAGCTGCCTTAAGTTAGACGTGTCTGCCCTGTACAGGATCCAAATGCACTTCAAAACACTAACTGGGACACGGCATCCTCTACATTAGGAAATATCCTTATTCTTTATTTGATACTACTAATTGAACCATGAAAGGTTCCATCTGAAACATTCTGCAAGGCATTTTACTCTTACGTTGTCTAATCGTTACAGGAGAGTTGGAGAACCAATAAGCCACCAAGAAGTTTGGCTAATGATCAAATTTTCCAACAGTGGATACCCGTCCCTCTTGACATTAAAAAGAAAAATAATACAACACGATGCAGGCGGGTGGACACAAGATGCATCAGAAATAGCATCCTACTAAATGAGATAAAATCTGAGCGGCGTTATAATTTCTCCATGAAATCATGTCACGCCAGACCTATGCCGCATCACTTTGTATGACTAAGAACTTGTCGTGCATTGGTGTGATCATGTCCATCTTGGTGGTGTATAAGTGCCTCGTATGACATATAATTAGATAGCTTAAGAGAAATTTCGTGATATCTTGTTTAACCTCATTCGGAACTTTGAAATAACCTAACCAAATCAATCAGTCTCTAAGTTTGAAGATCACAAAGTATAGGCTACTTTTGTTGTGAACCTTGTGATGTCCCAAATCCCCTCCCTCTTTATGTGCGTGTATTCCATTCTATAACAGGTTTTCCTTAAATTCGTATATTTGTTAAGTGCTGAATAATTAGGGCTATATCAATCTATACACAAGGATGCATAGCCTTTTTTTTTAAACTATTAGGAATCAAGAACCCAGATTACACAACCAACCATCCATTACCATATTCATACGTTCAAGCTCTACTACATATCAAAACATTTCCTTGCCTCGAAGAAACATAAAGGACAAATTATATCAAGATCAAGCACATTCTTTACTAAAATTGCTCACACATATCCTTCACAAAACGCACAAAAACAATATACCAAAATGATGACCGATATCATAATTCGCTCGCAAAATCAGTTCAGCTCCGCCTCACCAATCCCACGCTCAACAGCATGCTAGTTCGTACACGAGAAAATCAATTGGATTTTCCTTTGAACAACAGGGGATCAACCACCCAGCTCACCGTGCTCACACACTAAGATTTTACCACGCATAACAACATTTTCTTCATGCGAATACGAACAAACACTAGGAATCAATTTATCAAGCAAATGCGCGTGTAACGGGCTGCGAACAAGAGAAGTATACTCACAAAGCCGGTTCATTTCCGCTCCATCAGGCCTTGGATCAGCCTCCAGCCACCTCCCCCTCAACCCTCCACCCTCTCAGCCCTCACCTCGGCCTCCACCTCCTCAAACCACATCCCCTCCCCTCCCTCTCCTCCACTCGCAAACCGCCTCGCGACCGCCATCACGAACAGACCGCAATCGTACCCGTTCCTCTGCTGCGGCGTCCTCCCCTCACAACCCGCCTCCCTCCGTCCTCCCCCGACCAAACCCTTCACCGCCGAGACAGCCCTCCTCGCGCACGGCGCGTTCAGCCCACCGAGGCTGTCGTGATGCACGAACGAATTCGACGGCCGGTCGTAGGCCAACAAGCTCCAGTGGACCCGCCCCCGCGGGCCCGGGGTCTGGTGTCGTTGACGGGAACAGGATTAGGGTTTTGGACGGGAGTCGAGAGCGGAGAGGATGCCCGGCGTCACTGACGTGAGAGACGAGGTAGGAGAGAGAGGGGGGATGAGGAGGGTCGAGGAGGAGAGAGAGAGAGAGAGTGGGTGAAGAAGAAGGCGAGATGATCGGTCGTTGATGAAGTTTGGGCGCGCGAGAGTGGCGAGGTCGGATCCGCGGAGACCTCGTCGTGGGAGCTGCTACGGATTTGCGTCGTCGTCGTCTTCGCCGCCGCCGCCGGAGATCGCCGGCGCCATTAGAGATGAGGGTGGATTTTATTTTTATTTTTTGTGGGGGGTCGGAAAGCTTTATGGGCCTTTTGGTGGGTTTAACGTTTTGGGCCTTGTATCGAGATCGGCCGATTAGGCAAATGTTTTATCAATCCTAGCCGTTGGATTTGTTTTCGCTCGTACTTGAGTTCGACGGGTGAGATTTTTCCTACGTCAGCGATCCCTGTAGGAGAGGAACAGCCAATTGCGGTTCAGGTTTTTCTTCTATTTAAAGCTGTGGCTACGCAGCTTATATTTACTCCGGAAAAATACCTCATGGATCCGAAAATGGGACAGATAGAACGGGATAGGTGAGTTATCCCTCTCTGATTGTATAATACGCTAGGGGTGAGGATGCATGGGCCAACTTATTTTAGTTCCTCCAAGCAATTTTCCCTTATGTTTATATTATGGTCTATTCAAAGTTAAAATGTTACAATTTCTTTTAAAGTAAATGTTTATATTTGACTTGGTTTGATACTTATGTTATGTAGATTGGGAATGTGTATTTGATTATATAACCCAAGCTGGTAAGGAGTCGAAGCACTTAATGAATCAGTGGATGGAGTATAGAGATTTAACATGTGCATGCAACATATCATCAAGACAAACCATTTGTACCAAAAAAAAGATTAAATATGTTTGGTCAACGCAGAAACGCGATCTCATGAAGAAAAAAATACTAAGATTGTACGATGAGCAATAGCAACTAATTTAAAAACTTAAACTACTTAATAGTGTGAAATCTAATCGACGTTTTTTTTTCAAATTGTTTTGAACCAAGCTCTCTTAAATCTAAATATAATCTTCATTACTCAGTTAATTATTTTATTTTATTTTATTGTATCTTCTGATTGGTGCATTTTGAAACGTAGAACAACCGTCAACTTTAGAGGTGTCTTATAAAATCTTTCCTCAACTATTTTAATTTGAGAAATTCCCCTTAGTTTCGGGATGATGTACATAACCCTCTTCAATTTCAAATTTTTTTATTAATACCCCCAACTATTTGAGATGAAGAGGAGGAGTTTTTTTTTTTTTTTTTTTTTGGTTTTATTTTAAGGGTTTTGGATATTTGTTTGGGCTTCTTCTGGTCATATTATTGGGGCCTAACATTTGGACTGGGCTGTGGGCATCTGGATTTAATTGGGATTACATGGCATCGGGAAATATATCAACACGTTGGATTTTTTGGATTCCATGGTGATATCACTTTAGGCCCGGGTAATCTGAGCTCCGGGCTACACACAATTTAGCTCGTATAATTGTTAAGAGTGAATTTAAGCAACATTGAATTCGTCGATGATGATCGAGCTTCTTTCTGTATTATCCAACAACTGTATTGTAATAATTTGAAATAAATTACATGTTCGATGTTAGATAAATTTGTTGAACTTCTAGAACAAAATTGATTAGCTATTTCAAGAAATCCGTCTTAGAATTTTTTACTGTGCTCGTTTCAATGATAATGTTGGTTAATGGTTATGTATGCACATTCTTACCATATATGTATTTTATTTGGAAATTGAGTTGTATCTCATTGTAATAGTAAGGATGATGACGAGGAGAAATTAATATTGGGGAATGATAATGAAAAACAAGTACGGGGGTTAAGATTTTAGTTTAATTTTTATTCTCGTTCCTCTTTTCTGACCTTTTAAATGGAACTTTCAAACAAAAGTAAACCAAAATTTCTCTTCCCCTTCTCTTCTCTACCCTCCATCCAAACAAAGGTAATCTGTGGTCTCATACATCTTTGCCCTTAGCTAGCAATTCTCTTTTATTTCCTTTTTAAAAAAATAAATGGAAAAATAACTTATCCTGTAATCCATCTAGTCTTAATTTGTGCCCAACTGCAAATTGTTATGTTCAATTAAGAACACGAACCAAGTCAATATACTTTAATCATGTGCTTGGAGAATCCTGCCATGTGTTTGGGTTGTCACCTAATTCCCAAAGCCCATAGCGATCACAAAATTTATCTAGAAAAAAGGGAAAAAAACAAAAAAACAAGAGAAAAAAATTAAAATGTTTTGTCAACTCAATAATGATTTTTAGTAGGTGAAGGGGGTGGGAATCCTCGAACCAAAACGTGCCTCAGTCATTTGGGCGGGGGGGGCGGGCGGCGGATATATAATGGAGACACTATATAATTAACTAATCCCCCCTAACTTATGTGGGAAAAACATTGATTATATCCTTGTTGTTTCTGTGAAATATTTACATGGACTAACATTGCTTTATCAAATATGATGAAGCAAGTTTCTTTCCATTCCTCTCAATCAAACTCACAAACAAGATATTATATTTTTACTTATTACGATTTCACTCCCAAACAAGATATTATATTTTCAATATTATTTCTTACCTTTCCATCCCGCATTTTATCTTTCCTTTTTTGATACGTGTCAGCTTACGAGTCATTTCTGCTTTATAATTTTTTTTTCCAAAGTCATAATTAGTTTGATTTCTTTCTATATTCACTGGTGCTTCCATTAAAAAATAATAATCATGATTAGTACTTGAACTTTTCATTCACAAGTTCCAGTTTTGTTATTAATTCCAAAACAGCCTCATTAACTTCCTTTTCCTTGTCTCAATTTAGAGCATTAAGAGTGCTGCTACAGGGACCCAAAATATAGGACCAATGGAGAGGACAGGTGAGGTGTCCCCTCCCTATTGCATAATGAGTTGGCCATGCCAACTCATTATGTAATAGGAAGGGGACACATCACCTGTCCTGGCCAACTCATTATGCAATAGGAAGGGGACACATCACTTGTCCCCTCCATTGGTCCCATATTTTGGGTCCTTAAATCATTTTCCATATCTAAATCTCCTAGGGATTTCAAACTAAATTTAATTTATCCCTCGATTAATCAAGAGCGCTGCTACAGGGACCATTGGAGGGGACAGGTGACATATCACCCTCCTATTGCATAATGAGTTGGCATGACCAGCTCATTACGTAATAGGGAGGAGACACATCAAATGTCCCCTCACTTAGTCCCATATTTTGGGCCCTTAAGGCATTTTTCATTTTCTAATCCTAAAACTATTGTTTTTAGGAAATGTGCGCCTATATCCTACCTAATCCAAACCACCTACGTACTTAAAAAATATATATCTCTAAAGCATTTGTCCACTGAAACATATAACTCATCCAACCAAAAATTTTGAACAAAGCCCACCCCCATCTTCTACGGCTACCACCTTTTTCAACCCCTCACCCCCTACATTTGATCCTCCTTCCTGCTCCCCACATCACCATGACAACACCTCCAACAAATCTATAAACGCCGACCAAACTTCTCCACCCCCAAAAAAACAACACAAAATGGGATCGGAGCACGAATACGACGACGTCCCCCTGACGAATTCAAGAGACCCGGACCTCGAAAGCAACAGAATCCATCAATCGGGTTCAGATCCGTCTGCATTCTCAATAGGAAGACCACCACGGCCACCAAGGGGTAGCTCCTCCCGCAGCTTCGCGAGGATACTGACATCAGGGTCATCGAAGACGTCGGTGAAGGCGAGGATGAAGAGGACGGTTTCGAGCGCGCAAGGCGGTATCCAAGGGCTGAGGTTCCTCGACAAGGCTGGAGGGAGGGAAGGAGATGGGTGGAGAGCCGTGGAGAAGAGGTTCGATCAGTGCGCGATTGAAGGGAGGCTTCAAAAGGATGACTTCGGCCATTGCATCGGTGAGTTTTGCTCCTTCTGGTTCTCTTCGTGCATGATTGTATAGTATATACCCTGAAGAATGAGACAAACAACATTAGTCACTCAAAAAAAATTTGAGAGACGATAAATCACTGGAAGTTTGCGGGGTGGAGAAACAAATTGTGATTGGTTTATTTCTAGGAAACAACTAAACACACAACACCGACAACGATAACGAATCATTCATCGCAAATTTTAGGGTCGGATACATAAATCCTATCCTGCCGCGAGGCCAGTCATTACCGTGTCCTTGCTAACCAAGTTCTCTTAGAATTCCTTTCTCCGTCTCCATGGCAGCCACGCATGCTTAAGCAATTACGATTTGATGGTACGGATTATGTTAGAGGAGAATAATAACAGATGCGCCAGAGCCAGCTAGGTATGGATCCGTGAATGATAAAAAACCAATCATGACCATATTTTAAGCACGCATCAATGTTGTGTGAGCTGGTTCTAGAGTGTTGGCCGATGAAAAGAGGTTATGTAAAGGGAAAGCAAAGAATCTTGGTAAGCATTGAATTAATCTAAAATGCTTGAATCAAGCACATCAGTAGGACAAGCATAAGAAAGAAATTAAAGTACAAAAAAGAAAACGCACCAGTAGGTACACAACATCAGGAAGAAGGGGTTCGTCATACCGCACAACTTCAGAGCCACATGAAATCGCGATGCGGACTTCGTATCCATGATGTTTATCGCCCTACATCAATGAACAATATCTACATCATGCCATGCTCACAAAATAATCGGCACTATAAACCTGTATATAACACATGCATCCAGTGGTTTCTGTGGTGATTGAATGCAATTGAATCTGATCAGATTAGCCAAGGAAGCCTTGCAACTAAGAATCAAATTTACTTGTATTCTCAATTTTCTGTTCTGCTTTCTTTTAAGGTATGGCGGAGTCAAAGGAGTTTGCAGCAGAGCTCTTTGAGGCACTGGCAAGGCGACGGGGACTGGCATCAGATTATGATATAACAAAAGAAGAGCTGAAGGAGTTTTGGGAAGAAATGACAGACCAAAACTTTGATTCTCGGCTTCAAATATTCTTTGACATGTAACTATTTCTCTGACTCTCTCTCTTTGATATGGCTCGATAACATGATCGTTAAAGGTTTTCCATGGTTTTATGTAGGTGTGACAAGAATGGTGATGGTATTCTTAGCGAAGATGAAGTCAAACAGGTTTGTGATCTTGGACTCGTCTTAGTCCAACACATGAAATTTCTTCATCTGATTTTAGACCCGAAGAGACTTGGTACAAATTGGTTTCATAATACGCAGGTGATCATTCTGAGTGCCTCAGCAAACAAGCTTGGGAAGCTGAAGGGCAATGCAGCAACCTACGCGTCCCTCATTATGGAGGAGCTTGACCCGGATAATAAAGGCTATATTGAGGTATCTTGAATTCTATTTGCTATCGACGGGCCAAGGTCGATTTTGTAATAAGGGTACAAAATAAAGAAAAATGCACTAACTACCTGAAAGCTTCTCTTCTAGCTCTGGCAACTAGAGAGCTTGCTTCAAGGGATGGTGCGCTCTGAGGGAAATGAAAAGAAAGCAACAACTCATGCAACGAGTCTCGCAAAAACTATGATACCAAAGAAATACAGAAACCCAATCAGCAGATTTACCGCCAAGGCTTCAGATTTGATTCTAGAGAACTGGAAGAGAATATGGTTTCTTGCTCTATGGTCGGTATTGAATATATCTCTATTTGTATGGAAATTTAATCAGTACAAGAGGAGATCGGCATTTGAAGTGATGGGTTATTGTGTATGCATAGCAAAGGGAGCCGCAGAGACCCTGAAACTAAACATGGCACTTGTACTCCTTCCTGTTTGCCGAAATACACTAACAAGTCTCAGATCAACTGCTCTCGGCTCATTCATCCCGTTTGATGACAACATCAACTTCCATAAGGTGATTCTGCCCCCCAAATAATTTTGGGTCTTTGGCACTTAGCCCCCCCAAAGGTCTGAAACTATCACAAAACCCCAAATAAGTTTGGGAGTTCCAAAAACCCCTCAAAATGTTTTGATTTTTTTTCATTTTATCCGTAACGACTACTTTATGATGTTTATGCGATACTCTTTGTTTTAGACTTGAAATATGGGCTCACGCCATTAAGGAGGTTGAGTGAAAAAGTCGAAAAACTTTTTGGGGTTATTTCGGATTCCCGACTCTTGTTGGCGGTTCAATGAAATTTGCCCAAATTCAGCCTTTCTGCCTACATTTCACCATAAAAGACCTGCGATGACCATTTTTCTTTCCGTATATCACATATGTGCAGGTTATTGCGGCGGGAATAACCGGTGCTGCTCTCGTTCACACAGCTTCTCACATAGCGTGCGATTTCCCTAGATTAATTTCATGCCCAGAAACCAAATTCATGAATGCACTAGGGCCCAACTTCCACCACAAACAGCCAACATGGCCATTTCTTTTGTCCAGCACCGCTGGGTTTACAGGCATTATTATGATTATCATAATGGCCTTTTGCTTCACACTAGCAACGCATTCCTTCAGGAGGAATGTCATCAAGTTGCCATCACCCCTGCACCACTTAGCTGGGTTCAATGCATTTTGGTATGCTCACCACTTGCTAATACTCGTTTATGTGCTCCTGGTTTGCCATGGCTACTTCATATTTCTCACCAGAGAATGGTACAAGAAGACGGTAAGTCCGAGCATCCTCTCTTTGCAGTTGAAGATATGAAGTACATAAGATTAACTGGGAAGTTCTATGATATTTCTACAGACATGGATGTACCTTGCAGTTCCGGTAACCTTCTATGCCTGCGAGAGACTGACTAGAAAAGTACGAGAGAATAGTTATCATGCGACCGTCATTAAGGTGAGGAATTCTTCATTTGGATTTGCATTACTCAGTAAAAGATGGGATTTATTCTTGTGAATTAACACCCAACACCTCTCAATGTGCAAAAAAAACAGGCATCAATATATCCAGGTAATGTCCTTTCGATACAAATGAAAAAACCATCAGGTTTCAAGTATAGAAGTGGGATGTACCTTTTTGTCAAATGCCCAGATGTATCCAACTTTGAATGGTATTAACTTGGCCAGATCATAGTTAAACTTTCCGTGTCATAATATACGTTCGTAAGCCTACTAGTTTGATCTTCATCAGGCACCCATTTTCCATCACTTCAGCACCAGGGGACGACTACTTAAGCGTGCATATCAGGACTTTAGGCGACTGGACAACAGCACTTAGAACCTTATTTGGCAAGGTGAAATAAAAATTTAGTACGTTCTGCACTTAAAATCACAAATTCAAAAACAAAACAAAAGAACTAATGACAGTAGATTTTTCGGTCTCCACAGGTTTGTCAGTCTCAGGTTACTTCTAAGAAGGCCAATCTAGTTAGGCTTGAGACCACAGTAATAGCAGATGCCATGCTAGAACAGACAAGGTGATTTAAATATATAGACCCGTAATTCTTCGTGAATATCTGAAAATACTCACTTTCTTGGAGTAATCAGTTTTTTTTTTTTTTTTGCAGATTTCCAAAAATCCTGATTGATGGGCCTTATGGTGCACCAGCTCAAAATTACAAAAAGTATGACATTCTGCTACTAATAGGGCTCGGGATTGGTGCAACTCCATTTATCAGCATATTGAAGGATCTCCTGAACAATATAAAGTCCAATGAACAAGTTAGTGAAAATGTAAGTATTGAAGGTACTGGAACGCTAACACCTGATAAAGGGGTAAACACCGTTCAACGGAATTAATAATCTTTTGGCAGATGCAGGAAGGAAACGGTTTCAAAGGAAAAGGTCCAGGAAGAGCTTACTTCTATTGGGTGACAAGGGAACAAGGGTCTTTTGAATGGTTCAAAGGAGTTATGAATGACGTTGCAGAAAGTGATCATAACGTACCTGAAAATATCTTGCTGCTTCCACAATGCTTTATTTCAATCAATAATAATAAGTCCGCTGACGAGATGCATGACTGTTGCAGAATGTTATAGAAATGCACAACTATTTGACCAGCGTGTATGAAGAAGGTGATGCAAGATCTGCGCTCATTGCCATGGTTCAATCACTACAGCATGCCAAAAATGGGGTTGATATAGTCTCAGGAAGCCAGGTAATTAACCTCTTATTGTGATATCCAACATATGGCACATTAAACTGTACTTTATTTGCTTCAATTGATAACAGATTCGGACACACTTTGCAAGACCAAATTGGCGAAAAGTATTTAGTCAACTGGCTGATGCCCACAAATACTCTCGCATAGGTATGCAGCCTCAAATGAATTGGTTCCTGCTGTAGACTTACTTGACTAATTGCTGACTAATCGACTTGCAGGTGTTTTCTACTGTGGATCACCTGCTCTCACAAAAACATTGCGGGATCTTTCGCTAGAGTTCAGCCATAATACATCCACCCGGTTTCATTTTCACAAGGAAAACTTTTAATATAGTGTTGAGTGACTGTTGATAAACAGCATATACATGTACAGAGAAAGAAGGAAAACAAAAGAGAATGTTATTTATTTTCATAGAAAATTTTGCTATAAATTTTATGTAACTAATTTAACATATGATGAGACACCTATAAAGAAAAATTCGATAAAACTAAAATATTATATTTTATGCTGAGAAGCAAGAGTTTTCTAAGATGAAAAGCAATATGTTCAGCTAAAGAGTTTTCCCTCTGCTTTTCAGCGTTAGCAATCTTACAACTTTTTTTCTGAAAAATCTCTTAGCCACCTTGAGCTTTCTTGGCCAGTTGCTTCTTATGTGCATCTGCAACACTATTAATCCATCAACATTCATGATGGCGGTCTCTGGAGGTTGAAACATATTCATTGTCTTGTCCATGCTTTCTTGATTTTAATTGTCTTTTGATGTGATGGAACCTTCTTCTGACTTGAGAACAGATACCTCATTTCTACGCATTTGGGAATTAGCTTCAATACTTTCTATTGTGGATCCTTTCTGCATTTGTGCATTCCCCTGATGGGCCCTATCTCTGGAATTTGCCTCCACTGGCTTCACTGCCTTCTCCATGTTTTGAAAACTATATGTATGATCCTTTCTAGCTTCAGTCAGTTTAACCTGTTGTTCAAAGACAAGGTTTCCAGACTTGCACAAATTAGAAGCCAGTGTTGGTATTGGAACGGAAACATCAAATGGCACAAGCATGCCCTCCAGCTCATGCCATTGCAAATCTTCAAACCCACCATCTTCATAAACAATTCTATACCTTTTTGTTCCCTTGTTATACCTCTCGACCTTTCCTGAATAATGTTGATCTCCCAATAACTTTTGCACTTGTCTTCCTTCAAGCCACTCACCATAAGATGGACCACCTGCTAGTTCTAGATTATCCACATTATCCTGAGTAGTTGTTGTGAACCCTGGAGTAGCAACAGGCACACCATTTATCACAACAGCAGGTTCTCCCACAACATCAAAAACTGGTGCATAGGGTGATGGTTGCCCATCACATGTTCCTTGATTTTCTGTTTGTAATCCATTTTGCACTTGCAAAGTTCCATGAGAAGTCGTTCCACTGAAATTCTCTTCCATTAGCTTCTCATCTCTCAGTTTCCCTACCTTGGTTATTTGAAGTAGCTGAGAGGTCTTCCCCTTTCTTGTTAAACTAATTGCATGATTCTTTCTCCCTCTCGCCTTTTTAACCTGTAATTTAGGGGCAGATTTCTTTGACTTGTACCTATGTGAAGCAGTGTTTGTCAGTGGAGTGGAAACATCAAGTGGCAACAACACTTCCTCTAGTTCATGCCACTCGAGATCTTCAAAATCACCATCTTCATAAACCACTCTATACCATTTTGTTTCCTCGTCATACTTCTCAACATTTCCCGAATAATATCGATCTCCAAAAAACTTTTGGACCTTCCTTCCTTCAAGACACTTGCCAAAATATGGAGAATCCACTGCTCTTGAATTTTCTCCAGTTTCATGAATGGTTGTTGAGTACCCTGGAGCTGCAGGCACATGGTTAATTAAAACAGAAAGTTCCCCCTCAGATACAGGTACGGAGTATAATTCCTGTCCATTGCATGTGTCTGATGTAGTCGTATACTCATGTGTCAGGACGTAAGTTTCTTGATTTTCCATTTTTAACCCATTTTGCATTCCCAAAGATCCTTGAAGAGCCCTTCCACTGAAATCTGTTCCCATTAAGGTTTCATCTCTTGCTTCACCCACGTGGGTTATTTGAAGTAGTTCTGATGTCTTCCCCTCTCGTCCTGAGCCATTTAGATAAGTCTTTCTTTTTCTACCCATTTTAATCTGTGAATTGGGAAAAACTTTCTCAGAAGCAAAGGTTGTTATGGGAACAGATATGTCAAGTGGCAACAATAATTCTTCCAGCTCATGCCACTCCAAATCTTCAAAATCACCGTCTTCATAAACCACTCGGTACCATTTCATATCACTGTCATACCTCTCCACTTTCCCGAAATAATACTGATCGCCAAATACCTTTTGGACCTTCCTTCCTTCTAACCAATCACCAAAACAAGGATCATCATCCGATTCTAGAGCCGTTGTGGTGTCCATAATGCACGCTGTGCTACCTGGTGTAACATCTGGTACCCCGTTAATTACGATAGCAGGTTCTCCAATCACCTCATATACAGCTGGAATGTCTAGCTCTGGACCATTGCATACTTTTTCCATTATGACGCACTCAGTTACCCTTTTAAACTAGTGAAGAACTTGAACCATCTGTGAGAAAAAGAAAGACATGCTGAGTCTTGATCATCACAATTATCGACTTGAGTACATATGAAATTGAGGAAGATAAAAAATCATTATAAAAATACACTATTAAACTATTCAACAGAATTGAGGGTTTTTTTTCTTTTTGGGTGGGGATGTGGTGGGGTGGGGGTGGACGGGGGGCAGCTTATATGTATAAGCTTTAAAGGTATGTTAGCTTTTCGTGGCCTTTTGACTTTTACGATAAAAAATTTATCAACAATGCATGAGTAGAAAAGTCATTGACTTGGCCAAATCTAGCTTATAGGTGAGTTTATAAGCTAGTTTTTCATAAGTACGGAAGCCTAACTGTTTTAGATGGGACTTAAAAGCTAGCTTATTTGGGATGTTACCAAATAGGTAGATATGGAAAAAAAAAGCTAGCTTAAAAGCCAGAAAAATAAGCACCCCAGCCTATAAAGACAGAAAATAATAAATAAGCAGAATGAGTTGGTATACCATAACATTGATTTAAGTAGTACACCCAGCCGAATCAGAAGCATCTGAGATGATGGTCTTGAATCGGTAAGTTGATGGTCTTGCATGCACGGATGTTGGAATGCCAGGTTAAAAGAGATCCACAACCTTCACCATAAAGCAAGTAGCATTAGAAAGGACAATCATAATTCCATGGTCAAGTAGCAGAATACACATACAACAAATATGATAGCGTAGATACAGACTGTTAGCATTAATATAAAACTATAATCATCGATCATCACCATAACTTCGGAGTTTTAGTGTAATGTTTAAAGGGACTTAATTTGAGACGGTATCACAGCAACCCATGTTTGAATCTTGCTAGCCACAAAATTTAATGCGAATTTTAAAAATTTGTTACCGTTGCGTTAGTCCAGATTTTCAGCCCATAAACAAGGCACTTAATTTGCGGGGCCATGTTAGAATTAATATAAACTATAATCCTCGACCCTCACCATAACTTTGGACCAATAACTTCGAAGCACATAAAGACTAGGATAAGATAAGGCTTAAGTTGGACAAAATCTTCCAAACAATCTTCAAATGCTTAATGATTGATAAGGAAGGAGATTTATCAACAAGATCCATTGGATATAATTCAAGAAAACGTATCATTTAGGGCATATCAGGAAAATGTCCATAAATTTCTAGTTCACTGTGAACTGGTAATGGTATCAAAAATCACTGAAATGCCCAAATTCGGAAAGACGGCCTAAGAATCATAAAGAATTCTAAATACTCTTGAACACGCATAAATAGGTAAAATTACCAAAATAAATGCCAATAACATCAGCAAAATCAATGAGTTCTTATAAGAGGTGATTAAATAAATTATAAAGAAGTTCAACATATTAACAAGTTCCATATTTGACATTCATGTGATTAACATGAATAAAATCACAAGTGGGCGATGTAAACTAAAGTGCTAAACCAAATAAAACAAATTGATAGTCAAACAGAATTACAAATTTAATCCATGTGTTAAGTTGGGGGAAATTAAAATTGACCTCCAAATTTTCTTCAATTTACCAAACTGACTACTTCCAAGTTTGACCTTGACACTAAACCAAGTAAGAATACAAATTTGACCCCTATTTACTGAACCAGAGTCCAAATAAACATCCAAATCGAGAATGTCAGTGAACTGGAATCCATTATCATATTCTTTTTGATAGAAAAGCAATCTCGTTGTCAGAAATATCCAACAATGAAGTTTTGTTGCAAATACTCACTCAAAAAAAAAGACTGAAATACCCTCACGATAGGAAAATTTTATACATATGGGAAAATCCAAAGACTCTTCTGATAGGAAAGACTTCTTCACAGCAGAAGCTATTACTTTTCATTAGGAACCCGACGCTTCTACAAAATTCTAATTAAAAGTTTTCTATATTTTTGAAGAAAAATCTATCAAGAACAATAAATTTCTAACACTGGACACTAAATTCCACATCAAATGCCATGAACTTTCACGATCTAAAATCTGGATGTTGTTAATATTTGCAAGTTCACACAAGAACATAACCAACCAATTAATTTGAGACCCCTTCACTTCATCCCAAAGGTAACAATTGACTTGAGTCTATGGGACATATCGAACCCTTCCATTAATAACCTCTATTTTTTAGAAGTAATATAAGGAATATACCCTAATCAAATACCTACTATCCATCATAGTTGGGATGTGATATTCCGACCCTATAGACTAGCGAGCCCGATTTGATGAACCACTCCTCCCATCCTCGGGCTACGCATTTTAACTGAATTTACGAAAAGAACATAACATATACGCACAGATATATGATGCTCTCAGAGGGTGTACAGATCACATTAATCAGGAAGCAAAATGTGTCTTACATAATATTAACCAACCATGGTAAGACGTTGTAAGAAGTTTGACAAGAAATGCAAATCTTGTCAGATATATAACGAGTACATTTTTCACTTCGTCCCATGAACACAAGCGTTCTATCACGACCCTGTTAAATATGCGAAAAGCATCGGTCCGCTCCACATCCCACTGGGCAGTCTTCTTGAATTCCATCTCTTTCTCCAGTCTTTTGTGATGATGCAGTTGCCTCTTTGCTTCAGCTTCGAGTTGGAAGATGAATTTTCTTGATTTTATTGATCTTTATCCGTGCGCCCTACGGTATACATCGTACCTGACAGCTAGCCCTTTACATCATTTTTGCTCTCTATTGTTTTACGATAGCTTATTCTAACAAGTTGCGAGACATATTTCAAGATTTGAAACAATTTCTTCGAAAAGGATATCAAATTGAGATCTCTCAATACAAGGGCTAGCTTTTTTTTCCCCATTAAAAGTGGGGCAAAAAAGACACTGAAACAATTCCACCACCGCAATATATATCTGCATGCAGGACGTTCACATGATGCAAGATCATGCTATAAAAGAATTTGCTCCCAATTTACAGCATCTCCCGTGAAAATGAAATTAAAATAATCATAAAAAAAACAAAGGGAACTAACGCTGCTCTTGCTAGCCAAGGCGGTTCCTTTACATCGGTAGATCTATGAGCTTTTTTCACTCACTACCCAACTACTGAATCTTCAACAAATCCCAATAATTCACTTCTCAAAGTAGGAATTTGATGGAAGAAATAGATACAATCGAGCGTACAAACATCATCGCTAGTGATCAGTTCAAAACTGACTGCAGAAATATCTCTAAATTGAGAGAGACGGTGAGAGATTAGGGTTTTAGGGAACTGACCTCCGCCAAAATCGAGAGCCTTGGATGAAGAAGATGAATCCGAGCGAAACGACGACTGAACGAAAATGGGATTAGTGAAGGGACAACTGTTGGACCGGGGATGGTAATTGGACCCGATAATCCTGTCACTTTGCCCGAATCGGACCGATCCGAACCGCTTTTCTTGTCACTCCCAATCTTTCTATTCTATTTTTTTTTTTTCAAAAATGGGAGTCTAAATTTTTTAAAAAAAAATGGATGTTTGGAAAATCCCATATTTAACACTCTTGTGTTCCACTACAATACAAACTTGACATATGAGGATTTTGGAAATAGCGGAGAGGAGGGTTTTTATAATTTATATATATTTTCTAAGCTTGTTCATCTGCGGGTTAAATAAAACGTAAGTTTGAAGAACTTTTATTTCTTATGGTACACAAACATGTGTGCGTGATATGATACAAGGTTGGAATATGAGGATTTTGAAATAACCGGGAGTGCATTTCAAATTAAGTATAGAATATACGAACGTTGTATTTGAAATGTGAGTTTTTTTTTTTTTTTTGAAATCTTTCTAAGATTACTCATCTATGGGTTCGGAATAATTGTAGATTTTGAGGGGCATTATTGAGTTTTAGAAGTCTAACTTGCATCGAAAGAACACCAAAATTTGTTAACAAAAGGCTAATATCTTTTAAAAAAATAAATTTCTGATTTAACCATTCCTATAAGTTTAGTTATGAATAATACCAAAGCATAATTTTATTTTAACCTGATCAGATATTTTAAGTTTAAACCAAAGATCATATCATATTTCACTCTCTATATGAAAAGAGTGTAAGAGCTGCCATACCCTACATAGGACTGAAATGACAGTCTTACCCTTGCTTGATGAGTAGAAGATTTAAAGTTTAATTTTGTTTCCAAAGGCAATATGTCATTTGCATGTGATTACACGCGTCAACTTCACGTGTTTAGCTGCAACATGAAGATAGATGGGAGGCGCTACAGTCACACCCCCAACCACACTCCTCTCGTTACAGTGCACTGGGACCACATGAGAATTTTTTAGGCCTCAGTGCACTGTAGCAAGAGAGGAGTGTGGTTGGAGGTGTGCCTCTAGCATTTTCCAAGATAGATATGTAGATATTAGCCCCTCACATCTATAATAATTCCTTATTAGTCACTTAAATAGATAATATTTTCATATTAGTCCCTCGTATCTTAAAAATTGCTCCTTAGTCCCTCAACGATCAAACCAAATCTCAATTATGTCTTCACTCTAAAATCTTATCTTAAAAAAAAAGTTACTTGCACTTCGACACTTATACCTTATTTCACTTTAATAGTCGATCGTTTTTTTCCACCTTCCATAACCAAAATATTTAATAATTCCATATTAGTCCCTCAAAACTGTAATAAATCCCTATAGTTTTTATTAGCACTTTGTTATGACAAAGTTTATACTTCTTTCAACTTTGATATATATTTTTTGCTGTATGAAAGTTTAAATATTTGTAACTTTCGAGGTATAAAAATTTTAAAAAAACTCTTAATTAAGTTATCAAAGATAAAAAGGTGGTTTTAGATAAGAGTGTTCATCAGCAAAGGTTGACGGTACCAAACAGAGGTTAAGGTATGAGGTGCTTTCACCTAAGTTAGGCGGGCTTATTTATACCGATTACCTGTGCAAATCAGGCAGTACATGTATCACTATCTTATTGACTGAGATAGTCATGAAATTTACTTTGAGAGTAAGTAAATCCACGTGTCGATACTTCATTGAGTTATGTATGAGGATACGATGCGATTTGAATTTAAAAAAGCATGATGTTAAAAAACATAGAAAAAGATAAAAATGCATAGATATGATAAATTAAAGGTAAATTGCACATAACTCCCTCAGCTATGTTTTCAACCAGCTCATTTATCATCAGTTATCTCATCTCAATTCTTAAGGGGAAAGTACTAAGTGCTAAAAAATAGTTTAGGGGGTTAAGTACAACAATAGGTACAGATGAGGGGGTTACATACAAGTTATCTTAACTTGAATTAATTATAAAATATAATAATTTCAAAACTTTAAAATATTTCAAACGCGGACTAGAATTGAAATAACCTTAAGAATATTAACTATTACCTCAATTCATATTGACCTTTAGGGGCCGTTTGGTTGGTTTCCTAAAAACCAAGAAAATGAAATCGGTACAAGGAAACCAATAAAATATGGTTTCCTAAAAACCAAGAAAATGAAATCGGTACAAGGAAACCAATAAAATAATATTTTTATCCATTTCCATCCCTAAAACTCACCCACAACAATTTTTATCCATTTCCATCCCTAAAACTCACCCACAACATCCAATAAAATAATATTTTTATCCTCCAAACTCATCTCATTTCATATCATTTCTTACCTTTAAAAATAAACCAAACACAAAAAATGTGTCACATCATCCAACTTATCACATCTCATCTTATCTCATTTTTTAAAATCACACACATCATCCAATAATATTGTGACAACTCATCTCATCTCATTAAACCTTCCTTTCCATCCATTTCCTCAAAAAAAAAAATTAATTTCCTTAAGTATGTGTCACATTATCCAATAATATACCTCCAACTCATCTCGTCTCATCTCTTTTCTTATTTTTAAAATGAACCAAACACAAACAATCTCAAAATATTATCCAATAATATACCTCCAATTCATTTTCTTATTTTTTTAACCAACCAAATAACCTCAAAACAAGTTTTTTTAAAAAATCACTCACATCATCCAATAATAAGGTGACAACTCATCTCATCTCATCTCCTATTCTATAGTTTTTTTCTTTTTTAAGCCAACCAAACAACCTCAAAACAATTATTATATGAAATAAGTTTCCTATTCTTTGATTTCCCAAATTTTTTTGCGAAACAAACAGCCCTTATTAGAAAGGTTGCAAGTAAAAACTTAATTTTATAACTATAGTCTTTGTTAGAAATTTCTAGATATATGAAATACAGCACCCACTTAATTTTGGCATCGCACGTGCCCCTTCCCACTAGTAGTATAGTAATAGGTAAATATGCATAAAATAGCCCGCATTTTTATTGGAAGCGCGAACCAATTCGATTGGACCAAATTCGAACCGGCGAGAAACCGACCGAACCGCCGGACAAACACTAAGCTTCAGTCGAGTAGGAAAAATCTCAATTTCTTTTTAGGACAAATTTTTAAAACCGTCCTATTTGTAAAAATAATTCTAAAAACGGCCTAGTTTCAAATTATTCTTCAAAACCGATTTAGTTTCGGCTGAAACTGAGTCAGTTTTGAAGAAAAAACTTACGAAACTTCACGGGACTTAAAGTCCCGTAAAGTTTAACATATATTTAACCAAGCTGCTAAACTTCAGAGGACTTCAAATCCCGTGAGTTTCGTAGTTCAAACAAACTTCACGGGACTTGAAGTCCCATGAAGTTTGTTTGAATTTATTTTCCTCCTTGTAGAAAGCGGTCGAGATGTGCGCGGGTTGGAGTTCAGCACGGAGGTGGGTTACGTGGAGTTCCTCACACATGTGAAGAGGACTGAGACCGAGGCACGTGCTAGTGTACCCTCTAGTTAGCAGGAAGTAGAATATTTTGAAGGATGAGATTTTGAAGGATGAGATTGGTGGGCTCATATTAGTGTACCCTCTAGTTAGCAGTAAGCACGTACATATCTGTTTTTGTGTAAATTTGTTGAGAAGTCGAGGGGCTAGTAGCATAATTTTAAAAGTAGAATCGCGTGGGATTTTGGTCACTTTAATAAACTTCACGTGACTTCAAATCCCGTGAAGTTTATTAAACTGTGAAACTTCATAGGGTGAAATTTAACAGCTTAGTTAAATGATTGCTAAACTTTACCGGACTTCAAATCACTTGAAGTTTGAGAATTTTTTTCGCCAAAACCGACTAGTGAAAGGGGTTATTTTTGAGAAATATGTTTGCAATTATGAGGGTTTTGAAAATTTGTCCTTTCTTTTTATTAAACTAAATTATATTTCTTTGCGATTGCCGACCGGTGAAAACCCTAGAAAACCCATCGGCGTAGGGATTGTCTTCGTCCGGTCATTTCCCGCCAAAAGAATCGACATTCAAGAGGGATCGGCGTGTAATGCTGAAATGGAGGTTAGGGATTAATTTTTTGGTGGTGTGTTGATGTGGAAAATTTTCAAGTGCGATTTTTTTCTTTGCTGCTAGTTCATTTTGATCTGATAACATGCTCTACGAAAACGGCGAATTTGAGGCCCAATTCATCCTCAAATTATTGTCACTAAGCAATTCCAATGCTCAGTCATCGTATAATTTCATGTTGTAGCCTATAGCATCTTCAATTTACCTTATTGATGCGCTGATGTAACACATTTTTGTTAGCCGAGGGAAAAATTGTAGCCAAGAGAAGCATTTCTTCTCTTTGAGGATGCTTGGGCATAACAATTCGTTTGTGGCCGGAGGAAAGGTGAAATTTTTTACTTCACGGATTGTTAATTTAGTCTTGTTGTGAGCGCGCTGATGAGAGATGGATGCAGAGCCAGGAGTCAACATGAGCTAGTAAGAATGTAAATGGGTTTTCTAGTGGTCGGTTTTTTTTTCCTGATATAAGTGATGATATGCTTTTGTGCTTACATAGAAGGAATCTCGCATCGTTAGCTTTGTTTTTGTAGATTGTTACTAGTTCTCCGGTGCACAGTAAACTTGCCCATAAAAAATATTTTTAACACCTTAATAATCGAAACTAATATGAATATAAATTTGAAAAATAACTGCCAAAAGTGATAAAGTATCTTACTATTAGAAAATGTGGGGATTGCGGGGATTTATTATCAAGTAGTGGATGGTCGTCAGGATGCTATTTGATCTTTCCTAGTTTGTCCTTCTAATTAGTGTCAGTGTAAAATAAATTGTTAAGGGCATATGTTGAATTTTTTGAAATCTTGACACACAGGGTAGAAGCAAAAGTATGGCTCTTCTTGAATAATAGTAATAGGTTATCTCTTTCAATGAACAACAGATGTGAATTCAGTTATTCATTACATTCTGCACTAATATATGCTTAACGACTGTTTATTTTTTCCAGTCAGTCATTGTTGGGAACCCGGGGTTCATTTTTTATCTTTTTCGGATTTATTTAAAAAGAAAATTGAAGTATAAAAGGTTAGGAACGATCCGGCCAGCTGTGCTGAGCAGATCATGATCTTATCATTAAATGCTAAAGTTAAGTTAGCTCATCCATATCATGTTAGTGAATTTTCTTTCTGACACAGGCTCTGATATACTTTCAACTTACTGCATTTTCCAAATGATCTTACGTTATGTATTTGGAAGATTGGCAGTAAGCTCCTAGGCTTGTATTGCATGGGTCATATAGTTGTCTTGACCATCTAATTTTGATTGAAAAGTATGGCATGCCTCTTGCTGCATACATTTTCTTTGAAGCTGTATCCCTTCCATGTAGATGGGATGTGCATTTCTGTTGTGTGTTAATGTGTTGCAAAAATTTCTCTAGGAAGAATCCAAATGTTTCAATATGATCCCTAGTTCTTTTAATTGGTGCAGTGCATTTGGTGAAAGACTTGTCGAAACAGTTTGTAAACTCCTCCACATCTGAGAGTATGTTATTTTTCCAGGGTAACTGAGTATGGGGATAATACGGAGTAGTTTCTCTTTTCTACTGGGAACCGGCTGTGGTATTTACATTGCTCAAAATTGCAATGTCCCTGACATAAAAAAAAAGCTTGTCAACACATGGATGTTTGTGGCGAAGACAATTGAAGAAGCCTACAGGAAGCCTACTTTTAATCTTTTGTATAGATGCCATCAGATATGGAGATACATTTGAAGAGATTCACAGCTAGAGTGGTATGTCAAACAAACCAATGGCAAATAATTTTGATATCTGGACACCATCATCTGGGCATCATATGTTTTGTGGCTAAATCTACTTTCTTTCATGCATTATTTTCTTGCCTCTGCTAATACCATAATTTTGAGTAAATTTTACTGGTGTCTCCTTTTGTCTCTGCAGAGGTTGTAGAAAATTGTCATGTGGACCCTAGCATATTCAAGCATATATTAGTTTTTTGTATGTTGCAATTCGTTGATCTATTTGATCCCTTGCATGTATGAAGTTCATCTGATTAGTAGAACTTGTTTGCTGACAAATGCTTGAATTTATTATAATCTGTGTACAGTTTTTGTACAATTGCCTAGAGACTTGTTAGTACGCTTTATGTAAACCAAAAAAAGTGGCTAAATGATTGTCTATGCAGAATGCAGTCTTTATAAAAGTTTTCAAAAATGCGGTTTCATATATTGCAGATTTTGTGGCTATTGTATGCCTTCTCCTGATGTCTGGTTCATACATCAGCCTCCCAGTTGCGGACACCTATATCAGCATGGGCTTGGCATCTTGTGGGGATGTATTTAAAATTAAACATGATATAGGGGATCAATATCAGGAAAGCCTTTTATCATTATACAAATGAGAAAAATTTCTGCATGTTTGATCGTCCTTGTTATGAGAGTAGTAACAGTGGAAGAGAAATGTCCTGAACCTTAACAGGAGAAACAAAACTCTGTTGTTACTCTGAGCATATGGAAATTGTATGCCTGTTGCAAAAGAAACATCTTTTAGGGGACCTGTATCAAAACAATCATGATACTGGGGACCAATACAGTAAAAGACCTTTATTATAGACGAATGAGAAACAACAATTCCGTATGTGTGTTTATCCTCATTATGAGAGTAGTACTAATAGTGGAAGAGAAATGTCCTGAACCCAACAGGAGAAAGAAAACTCTGTTGTTACTCTTGACTTTATAGAATTTGCATCCTTGTTGAAGATTGTGATGAGATCTGTTCCAACTGCTATTGTGCAATGCAAATTTCACTCAGTTTCCTGCATTTCACCAGTTCGTCTCGTGTAAGGTTACACCATTTTGATAGATGTGTCTGCATGACCTCCTTTAGTCGATCGATCATTATGATCTGCTACTAGCCAAAAAATCCTAGACTTTCCAGATTTCACAATGTCCTCCTTAAATTGTTCTGACAATTACATTGGAATTCTCATTTGTAGGTAGTTCTTCTGATATTTGAATTCACTCTAGAGATAAACTTCGCTGAGTCCAGAAGGATTTGGAGTTGAACCCTTCCTATATCCCTGTCGTAAGCTAAACTACGTACATTTATGTCATTTTAGTTCCTGATATACCCTATGTTGGAGGTTGTTTGTGTTTTAAAGTTTCTGGTTCAACTGCATTTAAAAAATATAAATACAAAGAGTTTGCATCAGCATGCTAATTAGTTTGCCGTATAAGGTTTTCCATACAACATTTCCCGTGCATGCCAATACTTTTTGCGGAAGCAGAAACATATGTCTGCTTTCACGTTCACAATACTAACATTTCTGTTTTCCTGCTAGTGTTAAACTTGATTATTAGAGCTCTTTCCTGCTCAGTTTAATTAATTTATAATTTTGTTATTGTGTTTTTCCCGACAGAACACACCTGCGCTTGGTCTTGTTGTAGTAATTAATTAATCCAGTAGACATTGTGGAACATTGTATTCTATCTTTGATCATTTCCTTAGAATCCCTTGACCTAGCTCAAGACTGCATCAAGTTCTTTTTGAAATTCTTGTATATTTACGCACGATTCTTTTTAGACTCGAGTCTGATCTTTTTTCGGCCATACTTTTCATTTAAACCTATGATCAAACGAAATTTGGAATCCATCTCGCTTTATTGACCTACCATTCGGTTGAATTCCTTAGTCAAAACCTGTATCTTTCTAATCATGGTTATAATTTAAGTCCAATCATACTCAAAAGAGAAAGATCCCATAAACGCACGGAGACAAGCTTTTGTTCCTGATTAGCACTAAATTAATCACACTTTAGTTCAAGGGATTAGTGGGTTTTAAGTATCATTTTGCGTACCTCTAGTCAATATAAGCATCCAAGGAAATGCTTTTCTCTGCTGCATGTGTCTCACTCATTACTCCCAACTGATATAACCCCCAACTCAAAGTTTAGGTTCCCTGACTTTTCATAAGTTATTCACTGAATCTTAACACGTCATATGATTCTGTGCTCCACTTGGAGCCTCCCCTCAGTTATAGGTAGCCACCAAGAGAAAGTAGTAACAATGTGGGCTTAACCATTTGAATAATCTCGCTTCTTCTCATCATTATGTCCTATGATTACCTTTCACCTTAGTCTCATAAACTACTAAAAGATCAAGAGAATGTCTGTGACAACTCACACTATCTTCATTAGTGTTTGAGCCTAGTCGAAGCCTCGTGACCCGTGCATCGCACGGAGGTTACGGCTAGGACAGTTTGGGGCACAGCACCGAACAGATCACTTAGAAGTATACTCAAAACATTTCATGATAGAAAATTTTGTTTATGTTATCTTAAAGGGTAGGCTATGTTAGTGGAGAGGGTACCCTCCATTACGATGAGAGAAGGAATCAACATAGCCTCGCTCTTCTCTGTAGGGGGTAGCCTCTATCGCTCCCTTAGCCTTTGTATAAAGCGAGAGATTCCATTTAGTATGGAGATATTGCTGTAGTCTTCAACATATAATAGGTGGCCTTTGTTCTTCTGAGAGCTATAAGAGAAGGGACATACCATTGCTTACTTCTTTTTAAAAACTAGTGTACTTGAAGACAAAGGGGATTGGGTTGCATGTGGAAAGAGCTTATGGCCTTTATTTGTCGACATAACACATAGATATTGAGAGCAGTAGTGGACAATGGAGAGCTTTCTTTAAAAACCCACAGTGGGGAGCTTGGAAATTGCCTCTTTAGTTGTGTGAGATTTTTGTTTGATTTTATTCCTCAATCTAATGCTGAGCCTGTCGTACCAAATTTTGTCTTTATTTTGCAGCACAGAGTAAATAATATTTAGCTAATACTAAGTGTAATTAAGAATATTATTGAGTTGCAATTAGAATCAGCACCAAATATGAACTGCTTTATTCTTACAGAATGTCCAGGGGGTTTGAACCCTCGTCTGGAAAATGGAGGTAGCAACTATTGTAAAGTTCAGGCTAGTATTTCATCTTTATGTTTAGCTCAGGATATTTTTATTCACTAGTGGGCGATGAATCATGTTAGTTTCTCGTATTGCATTATATTTCTTTTTGATCAATCATTTTTACTGATCATCAAATGTTTCTTAGTATAATATTAGCTTTCTTTAAGTTAATGTTAGACTTTAACTTTACTTTCAGCGTAATGTATGTAACAAATAAAAATCTTTTTGTTACGAAGATGAGATCCTTATCTTTGAAGTGAATTTGTTCATAGTTTTATTACATAAGTTGGATTATTATGTAATTGTCTCGTATCTAAATTCATGTATGTGATCATGTTATCGATAATGTTGAAAAATGTTCAACTTCATCAAATTAGTACTTTTACACATAATATTACAGTCTCTCGTGTGTATCAATTCCCTCCATGTATGTAACTGCTACCAAAGACAGATAAAGTGCATCCCATGTGAAAATTTCACTTTCACTTTTGCTTCTTTAACACTAGGGTGGGCTTTAACACATGGTGGCTACTTGGGTGAAGTTTTGTTTATACACCTCAATGCAATGCTCTTCACATTGTTCATTGCATGTGGGTCTTTTGTATGACATTAGTGATGAATCTCCATCTATAAAAATTGACTAGCACCATGCATAAGCATTTATTATTATTATGTCTTGTAACTCCTTTTGCCATTACGATCTTAGTTTTATGGTTTAGGTGTGTAGTATGTGCTAATGACCTATCAAATTAAACAAATTTTGTCCTCCTTTCTATGTTTATTTTCTTTAGTAGCTTAGTACTCTCACGAAAGGTTACTTTGCGTTTGTGGTGATAGATCCTTTACCACCTAGACTATTATGGTTTTTGCTTACTGTTTTTAGAGTGATCTTTTTTTTTTGGTTAGTGATATGGATGAGTACTTGGTGATTGTTAAAGTAAGAGAGAGAGAGAATCTTGGGTAAATTTCCCTTGAATTGAATATTGAGTGTGCACATATATTTATACAAGTAGAGGAGTGTGAGGTTTGTTCTCCCAAGCAATGTGGGACTAAAACCCACTACAATACACTATTATCAACAGCCCCCTTCAAACTCATGTTGGATCAAACAAAGTGAGTTTGCGTACAAGAAACTGGAACCGATGAACAGGTAATGCCTTTGTGAAGAAATCTGCAAGCTCGTCAGCGGATGAAACATGAGGAAGTAGAATTGTCTTGTCCTTGATAACTTGGTGACGGACAAAATGAGCGTCGATCTCAATATGTTTGGTCCTTTCATGAAATACTGGATTATTAGCAATCTGGATGGCACTCTTATTATCACAGTAGAGAGGAGTAGGAGTCGTAACAGAAATACCGAAATCACTGAGAAGGCGACGAAGATGAATAATCTCTTTAGCTGTTGTGGACATTGCACGATACTCTGCCTCAGTACTGGAAAGAGCAATAACATCTTGTTTCTTACTTCGCCAGGAAATAAGGGAATCACCAAGAAATATACAATAACCTGTGGTAGACTTTCTGGTAGTTGGATCACCAGCCCAATCAGCATCAGAATATGCACAAAGCTCTAACTTAGATGTAGCAGGAAACAAAAGTGAGCGAGTGCTAGTACCCCGGAGGTACCGAAGAATCCGTAATAAGACAGCATAGTGTACAGAACGTGGGGCACTAACAAATTGACTGACAATACCAACAGCATGAGAGATATCTGGTCGAGAGATGCACAAATAGACCAACTGACCAACAAGATGTCGATATCGGGTAGGATCAGATAGAGGCTCACCGTCAGTAGAGCAAAGTTTGACATTCTGCTGGAGTGGAGTATCGACAGTTGTATTATCAGTTAACTCAGCTTGATTTAGAATATCTGAGAGATACTTCTGTTGAGACAGTAATACACCCCGCGGGCCTTGAGAAATTTCTAGACCAAGGAAATACCGAAGAGATCCAAGATCCTTCATGTGGAACTGTTGTTGCAACTGAGATTTTGCGTATTGTATACCTGTCATATCATCACCTGTAATGATCATATCATCTACATAGATGAGTAATAAAACCCTGCCACGCGATGTAGTGCGAACAAACAGAGAAGCATCTTGATGACTTTCTATAAAGCCCGCTTTGAGCACAACATCGCGAAAACACTCAAACCAAGCGCGGGGTGCCTGTTTGAGACCATAAACAGCACGACGAAGGAGACATACATGTCCCGGAGGAATATTTGACCCTGGAGGCGGTTGCATATATACGGTCTCTGATAAAGAGCCATGAAGAAAAGCATTTTTGACATCCATCTGGTATAAGGGCCAACGATGAGCAGCAGCGACCGCAAGGAGAGTACGCACAGTGGGCATCTGAGCAACAGGAGCAAAGGTCTCCTCATAATCAATACCTTGTTGCTGAGTAAAACCTCTAGCCACTAAACGAGCTTTTCGACGTTCAATGGTGCCATCAGGACGAAACTTGACCTTATAAACCCATTTACTGCCAACAAGAGAGATCCCAGGAGGACAGGGAACAATATCCCAGGTATGAGTTTGCTGAAATGCTTGAAATTCCTCAGCCATAGCTTGTCGCCACTCTGGAATTTGAACTGCCTCTTGGAAGGACTTTGGCTCAACAATAGTATGAATGGCAGCAAGAAAGTTATGAAAGATAGGTGAATAAGAAGTAACAGAAGCATACCGGGCAGGCATGACATGTGGGCGTTTGCCTCGACGAAGAGCAAGAGGAACCTCAGGCGGGGGAGATGCTGGCGCAGGTGCATGAAGATCAACAGTATTTTCTGGAGTGAGAGTTGTGTCCACAGGATATGGATTAGATGGTGTAAGAGAAGACTCAGGTGAGGAAGAGTCAACAGAAGGAGAGGGAGAGATGTCAGGGAGATCTCGAAAGGAAAATTGAGGTGAAGAAGTGGGTGATGCAGTGGACGGGGAAGCATGATCGGTAGAGTGGAGGAAATTAAAGTCATCAGAAGTAGAATAATATGGAGAATCCTCTTCGAACTGAACATGACGAGATATATGAACTCGACGAGTTGCGGGATCATAACAACGATAACCTCGATGTTCTGAACTAATTCCTAAATAAACACAAGAAACTGCTCTGGGAGACAATTTATCACGTTCGTGAGATGGCAGAAAAACAAAACATCGACAACCAAAAACGCGAACTAGATCATAACGGGGAGGATGAGTATAAACACGACTATAAGGAGTAGCACCGGAAAGAGAGCTAGATGGAGTGATATTAATGGCATGAGTCGCGGTGAGAATAGCCTCAGCCCAGAAACGACGAGGAACAGAGTAAGAAATGAGCATTGATCGGGCAGTATCGAGGATATGACGATGTTTGCGTTCAGCAACACCATTTTGCTCATGAGTGTAGGGACATGACTGTTGAAAGATAGTCCCATGAGAGGACATGATAGAGCGCATGGCAGAGGATAGGTACTCTTTGGCACAATCAGAACGAAAAACTTTAATACGAGATTGCCATTGAGTGAAAATCATAGCAGTGAAGGCTTGATAAGCAGTAAGTACGTCAGAGCGATTCTTAAGTAGGTAAACCCATGTAAAACGAGAGAAATCGTCGATAAAACTAACATAATATAAGTAGCCAGATGAAGAAGGCAAAGGAGCTGGCCCCCAAATATCAGAATGTACTAAATCAAATAAGGAAGTGGATACAGATGTACTCATTTTAAATGGTAAAGCAGTGAATTTAGCCAATTTGCAACCAGCACATGACTCAATACTAGAACTAGATGATACAGGACCAAGTACTCCAGACTGAATAAGACTCTCCAGCCTTTTATTACACACATGACCAAGTCGTCTATGCCATAAATTGGCAGGAAGCGAGGTAGAGGGTTTTGACGAACAAAGAGAAGCAACAAGAGAACGTGGACGTATGGACTCTGGAAGGTGAAGATATTCCAGAAAATACAGTTTGTGCCTCCTACGACCCGCCCCAACCGTCTTGCCCGTCTGTGGATCCTGCACAATACAAGTATCAGAAGAAAATGAGACAAACAGGCCCGCCATGCATAAAGAGCTAATAGAAATTAAATTCAAGCACAATTGTGGAGCCACATAGACGGGACCAAGTGTTAGACGACCAGATGGATCATTTTGTGGGGTAATAGAGCCATACTGAGTAATGGACAATGGTTGTCCAGCAGCTGTGTAGATAGGAGGAAGAGAGGATGAAGTAAAGACAGAGGATAAAAGTGAGGCATTACAAGTCATATGAAAGGAACAACCAGAGTCAAAAATCCAGAGATCATTCATACCAGAGACTGAAGGATTAGCTGAAGAACCAGCAAAATGCATACCAGAGAGTTGTGCGGCGGATGTAGAGGTGATATGTTGAAAAGCATCAAGTTGACGGCGAAGACTTTCAATAGCTTGAATAGTAGAGTCTGAAGTAGTAGAAGGTATAGCATTGGCCAACAATCCTGGTGTACGAGAGGGTTGAGACTGAGGGGGTCGCCGACCACGTCCAGTACCTGAGGAACGTAACTCAGGATGAAGCTTGAAGCATGTCTCAATGCGGTGTCCTTCCTTCTTACAATATTTGCAAGAGAGCTTAGATCGAGCCTGTGGAGAGGGAGCCTGTGGAGAAGTATAATTCATAACAGGAGCAGTGACAGGTACAGACAAAACAGTCTCGAGTGAAGAGGTAGGAGTGTCTGTTGACAAATTGAGTCGTGCTGTCTGCTGCCGGGTCTCATAAGCAGTGAGAGCTCCCATAACTGAGGCCAAAGTCGGAAATTGAGGCTGGTGAAGTAGTTGATCAGCCATAGTTGAATATTCAGGAAGGGACTGAAACAATTGATGCACCTCATGCCGTTCGTACCAGGCTAGCCAGTCTTCATATGTGGAATTACGTCCAGGAAGCATGGAGCGTAACTCTGTCCAAAAAGCTTGCATTTGTCCAAAATGGGACTGCAGAGATGAACTACCTTTGCGTTGTAGAGAAATGCGTTGCAGAAGATATGCCTCCCGTGCACCCGAGCACTCAGTGAAACGCTCAGTGAGACGAGTCCACATGGCCTGAGCAGAGGGAAGCGAGCCAATCTCGACAGTGAGACCAGAGCCAACACAGCGAGTGAGATAATCCATAACACGAAATTCCTGCAATTGCCACTCTGAACTCTCCTTGACATAGAGAGCACGAGCAGTCTGAAGATCGACATCACCACTGCCAGAGGCAATAGTACTGGATGAAGCAACAGTGCTGATGGACGGTGGAACTGGTCCCGTACTGGTGAGATGATCAAGCAAACCAGCGCCACGCAAGGCATTGGTGACAATGGTGGACCACCCTGCCCAGTCACTTTGATCATTGAGGGGCAAAGGTGGTTTGGGAATCTTCTCTGAAGGAGCCATAACAGCAATCTTGAGACGTTAAGATGTCGAGATGCTGTTACTAATGTCGTTCGTTTGAGGCCGAGAGACGGCTTGAAACGACGATGCCGTTAATTTGAGACCGAGAGACGGTCTTGAAACGACAATGCCGTTAAAATAGAACCCGAAGGTTAGAATGAAACCCGAAGGTTTAAAATAGAACCCGAAGGTTAGAATGAAACCCGAAGGTTTAAAATAGAACCCGAAGGTTAAACGAGAACGCGAAACGCGTTAAGAGGCCGCAAAACGACAAGGCCAAAATATCTGGCAGATGAACGCCAAATAATTAAAAATAAAAATAAAAAAAATAAAACATTAAACGGCTGCAAAGCAATAAGGCCAAGATTTGGCAAAAGAACGCAAAAGCGTTAAAAATTTTATTGAAAGGGAAATAGCCCTAGCTCTGATACCATGTTAAAGTAAGAGAGAGAGAGAATCTTGGGTAAATTTCCCTTGAATTGAATATTGAGTGTGCACATATATTTATACAAGTAGAGGAGTGTGAGGTTTGTTCTCCCAAGCAATGTGGGACTAAAACCCACTACAATACACTATTATCAACAGTGATATTTGCTTCGAAGTACTGTTTGCTTATAGAAATATATGCTTTACATAATTTGACTTTTAATTCATTTAAACTGTCAGCTATAGGGTTTATATGTATATGTGCGTGCTCGCGTGAATATGCAGTAGCATTGCGGGGGTTAGATCTACAGTTGAGCTAGGCAAATTAACATTCAGATCATCAGCATGCAGATACTACTGGAGGTAGGTTATCGTCATTTTGATCCATAGGTGATCATATGTAAATATTTGAATGTTTTTTTATTGCAGTTTTATGTCTAGTAGATCGTATCTATTGACATGAATTTTTACCTTGAAACTTTAAATTTTCGTTGGTAGTATTAGCGTGTAGGTTAACTATACATATATGGATACGTACATAGACATACGTATCTGGAAAATTTATATATTGAATTCTAGCGTAGATGCGGTGAAACCTCGTAGAATGCAATGGTTTCTTTTTAGCATCTGTGATTCTGGAGCATGGCTAGATCTCCTCTGTTACTTTTTTCCCCATCATTTTCAACTAAGAAGATGCTCAAAGGTCATGTTACGGATAGAAAATAACCCATCACTTTCTGTGTATAGCCTTTGCCCAAAGAGGCAAAAATACTAGCCAGTAGATAGATAAAGGCACATTTTCGGTTTACTTTTACTATTACCTAGTATACTAAAAAGAGCATTAGGGGATCTAATCATTTGTTAAACGAACAAATCTATTTGTCATCCCACAATTTGTTCATAAAAAAAAATTTAAGCTTTTAAGGGGATATGGATCCTATCTACCGCCGCTCTTTGATAGTGAAAAGTCCACTATCTTAACAACAACTATGGCTAAATTTTATTATTACATTAAGTTTATCATATCGTACACGGATTATATTTGCTTTTCAATTTTTTTGATAGTGAAAAAGTCCACTATCTTAACAACAGCTATAGGCTAAATTTTATTATTACATTAAGTTTATCGTATCGTACATGAATTATATTTACTTTTCAAAAAATTTTCACAATAGATGATTATGATTGAGAGGTTGCTTCTTTGTTTCTAGCTGCAATGGAGCCAATAGCTCTCTATTTTTTTTTTTTTTTTTACACCTAAAAGATTCCTATACCCCTTTCCTCTTATGGAACAAGGGGGGATGCATTACTGCTGTAGTGTTTTACATCATTATAGTAATCCTATGGTTAAGTGAATCCTTGACCACCTAAGAAACTGCCAGCTGTCACCATCTACCGTAATGAAGATTAAACCAGCATCATGTGACAAAATGTTACCATCCCTCTTTTTTTTTTTTTTTTTTGACCCAAACCGCAAGCTGATATCTTCACATGAGCCTTTTTCCAATTGAGTGCTCTTCCCAAATATTTCTACTAAAGGCAGCAGCAAGGAAATTATTTACAGAAACTTTCTCACGACGACGGAAACAGGCTTCTAGGCGGCAGATACCGTCTCCCAAGTATTTGGGGGGAGGGGGGGGGGGGGGGGGGATGAATCTTTGCTCACGAGGGACTCGCCAAGAATGTTGCAATAAATAAATGACTTTTTTTTTCACCTAGTAAAACACGAGGTTGATATGGACTGTAAAGTGAAAAGTCCCTCTTATTTCTTTTACCAGTTAAAGTTAAAAAGCACGAGGCTGATATGAAGAAGACAGGCTGTGATTGGTTTCATGAATTTTCAGTTCAGTTAAAAAAAAAAATTTATTCATATGACAGGTTTTAACATGTAACATAAGAAATCCGCTGTCGATTCCTGTAAATTACAATTATGGGTTTTTTGCAGTTTTACCGTCGAGAATATGCAAACTGTAGAAGTGAAAATAACAGTCACTTAATAGAGCTTTATTAAGGGGACGCTAATGAACTAGCGACAATTATGCTATTAGATTAGAGAATTAATACAGCTCCTATGATTAAACTTTCTTCAGGAGAGAAGGTTCATGGAGAAGACCCCATCAAAGCTAGCCCAGAGGTCCTCGCCGCTGTAGCTGAACTCCTCCTCCTCGTCGGTGGTGGCGAGCGTCGTTGCCGGAATTTTCAGACCACCGGTTCCGCATTCCCGCCGCCGCCGAAGTTGTTGTAGCTTACGGAAGCTTCTTGTTGCCGTGACGGTTGCAGGTGTAGCTCTCGTAGCTGGTCTCTCGGTTGCCACGATTGTTGGTGTAGCTCCCGTAGCTGGTCTCCGCGCCTCGGCCTAGCTCTTGTTCTGTTTCTGCTTCTGGCTCTCCGTTCCTGGCGAATCGGCCGCGGACTCTCGGGCGGCTATCGGCCAGAGTCTTCCTGCACGCATACTGGGCAACATGAAAAATGGGTCAGTAAATTTTTTTTTTTATTCAACAAGTATTTTATTTATTTTTCAGGCAGCTTAATAGTCAAAAAGCAATTGAGAAATTGACTAGTCCAGTTAAGTGTTAGCTATTAGTTTTTAGACAATTGTATTTGTTCGAGATATAACAACAACTAGCATTGTCTTCTTCCTCTGTCCATTGAATAATGGATAATTGTGATTAGATTTAGTTGTGGAAAAATAACAGAGATGACTGAAATAAATGGTTTCTGCAGTGTCCGATGGCAATCGCGCTACTCGTAATCACATACACATGTTGTTTGTTGAGATGAGATGACATCTGCAAGTAATCAGGGGCTCGATATGCAA